TTTTTTTTTTTTTTTCCCGAGACAGGGTTTCTCTGTGGTTTTGGAGCCTGTCCTGGAACTAGCTCTTGTAGACCAGGCTGGTCTTGAACTCACAGAGATCCGCCTGCCTCTGCCTCCCGAGTGCTGGGATTAAAGGCGTGCACCACCACCGCCTGGCTCCTTAACATTTTTATTTAATGTGACTTAAGACATTTTATTTTCCGTGTTGGAGATGGAATATCACCTTATTTGTTTGGGAAGCACTCTATTTTTAGTTAGTGTCATGTTAAGCAGCAGTGGTTATGGTCAGGTTTCTCACTTTCCTTTTCCTTCATTTCCCTTCCCCTTTCCATTTCTTCTCCTCCCCACACCATTCTTCTTTTCTTCTCTACCCTTTTCCCATCCTCTTTTGAGACAGGTCCTCTCTGTGTAGCTCTGTCAGCCAGACTGGCCTTGAACTTGCTTTGAGTCTTCTTGATGCCTCCTGTAGTTTTCTTCTGATACATATCAGAATAAATAATAGATATTGCAATGGAAACATCTGTATTTGTAGGGAAGCACTAACCAAAGTGTGATATAAGTTTTAAATATCAAAAATATTGGGAAGTAGCAACAGAAAATAACCTTTGTGTCCCTGTGCTTTTTTTACCCTGTGCACTCTGCAGATGTCGCCATGGCCCCTTGGGGAAGTGTGTGCATTGTGTCCCACTGGAGGTAAGTCAGTGTGGTTGGCTGCTGAAAGAGCTGGCTCAGCACTTTCTAGTTCCTAAACTTGGGTGTCGTGGCTCTTAAAAGAATTTTTCTATTTATCGTCTTTAGGCCTTGTATTCCCAGCAATACAGTGGCACAGAGAATCTGAGACTTATTTATGGGAGTGACCTTCTAGGGGATTGAGTGGCCGAGGCGTTGTGTGCTGATGAAGAGCGTGTGCGGTTGTCCTGGACAATTAATCTCTGACACATGGCTGGGCTCTCGCTTCCTGCTTGTTATGGCTCTGATTGACTGTCTGAGTCCTCCCCCCCCCCCCCTCTCTGTGTGAGGATTGACTCAGTGCTGTGCTACTAAGTTGTATCCTCAGGCCTTTTGTGACTTACAAAATTTTCTTAGAGCTGTAGTTTTTAATAGGAGTGCATTTTATCTTGAAAATGTAAATAACTCGTACAGAGAAGAGCTTGATTCTGACCATGAACCAGTGAATACCCAGCTTTGCCTCCCTCTCTGTCTGATCCCCTGCACAGTAAGATTGAAGTCTCATGTACCTTGGCAGACCCATGACCACTCATTTCCTGTATATTGTTGATAGCCATTTGATGAGGACTATCTGAACCACTTGGAGCCTCCTGTGAAGCACATGTCCTTCCATGCCTACATCCGGAAGCTGACTGGAGGGGCTGACAAGTAAGTACTCTATCCTGGCCCTGGCATCCAGACTCTCATGCATGTCTGATGGTTCTGTGTATAGTCTCTGGGAGTGGGGATGCAGAAGAGAAGGAAGGCAGTGCACAGAGCAGTTATCTTGATTATTGTCTGTCCACAATGTGCAGGAAAGCAGACAGACTCACAGCTGATGGTAGGTGTGGAGTTGCCTGGTGAACCTCCCTGTCTCACCACCTCTGTGCCACCCCGTGAGGATCTCAGTTCACCAACCTTAGCCCTGCCTGCTCTTTCCCCAGGGCTCTCCTGTTAGTTAAGTTCACTTTTACAGCTGGGATGGGCTGAAGCCACAACTCTATACGGGTTGCATTCTGGTACCACAGGGCTCCAGTTAGCATACTTGGTCCAGTGGGTGGTGTAAGCAGCCTCCTCTTTGCCCAAATTCTGGTGGCCAGAAAGGTGAACTAAGACTGGTGTTTGTTTGATTTTCTTTAGGCTTTGCTATGAGTCTTAAACTTGAGATCCCCTTGCCTCGGCCTCCTGAGTGCTGGGATTGCAGATGTATACTGTCTCTCCAGGCCGCATTTGGTTTCTTTTTAACCTGTGTGGAATATTTGTCTGTGTAGCTCCTTTTGTGTGCACCTGACCAGAGAGTAACAGACCTGCTGGTAGCTTTGTATTTCCTGTCACTGATAAGAAGAGATGGCACTGGGTCCAAGTCAAGGTGCTGACATCCAAAATTACTTTTTAATTTTATTTATTTTTGTTTTTTTGAGCTAGAGTTTCTCTGTAGCCCTGGCTGTCTTAGAACTTAACTCTGTAGACCTGGATGTCTCCAAACTCAGAAATCCTCCTGCCTCTTGAGTGCTGGGATGACTGTTTAAAATGTTAAACTGGGAATGGAGTGGAGCTGGAGAGATGGCTCAGCAGTTAGAGCACTGGCTGCTCTTCCAGGGGACCTGGGTTCAATTTCCAGCTCCCACAGGGCAGCTCACAGCTCTCTGAAACTCTAGTTCCAGGGGACCCAACACCAATGGACATAAAATAAAAATAAATAAATTAAAAAACAAAGCAAAAAACCCAACCTTCAAAAAACAAAAAAGGTTAGACTAGGAGCAAATCATCACCAAAGATGCACGCTTGACTGTCAGTGTGGAGCTGTGGGTTCTCTTGGGTCTTTGCACGCTTGACTATCAGTGTGGAGCTGTGGGTTCTCTGGTCTTTGCACACTTGACTGTCAGTGTGGAGCTGTGGGTTCTCTGGTCTTTGCACACTTGACTGTCAGTGTGGAGCTGTGGGTTCTCTGGTCTTTGCACACTTGACTGTCAGAGGGGAGCTGTGGGTTCTCTGGTCTTTGCACACTTGAGTGTCAGAGGGGAGCTGTGGGTTCTCTGGTCTTTGCACACTTGAGTGTCAGAGGGAAGCTGTGGGTTCTCTGGTCTTTGAAGCAGGCAGATTTACTGTAGGAGGTGCCCGCTCATTCTTTGTCAGTCTGGGTCAAGGAAGGACTCGTGTGGGGACACGGCTGCTGTGCAAAGCCTAGGAGCAGAGGTTTAACCTTTTGTGTTCAGATGCTGGCTCATCCTGGGCTTGTGAGAAAGCATTTAGTACCAGGAGAGGTAACCACCCCCCCACCCCCCTTCTTTCTTTTGTTTTTTTGAGACAGGGTTTCTTTGTAGCTTTGGAGCCTGTCCTGGAACTAGCTCTTGTAGACCAGGCTGGTCTCGAACTCACAGAGATCCTCCTGCCTCTGCCTCCTGAGTGCTGGGATTAAAGCCGTGCACCACCACTGCCTGGGTGCAATTTTTATTTATAAAACAGATGTCACATTTTACAATTTAAATATGTATAATTTTTTTGGGTCCGTTATTTCTTAATAAAGCTGGGGGAGAAAATGGAGGTTGGTGAGATATGACAAGGTAAAGGAACTTAGTGCCAAGCCTGGCCTAGGTTCTAAATTCAATCCCTGACCAGGCCCCACATGGTGGAAGGAGAGAACTAACAGATGCAAGTGACCTCTGACCTCCACATGAATGCACGCACACACTAAATATATACAATGTAATAAACAACTTGTGTAAAGCAACAAAGTGAAATTAATGGAGCATTCTGTGATTGAGAAAACCAACATCACTTAGCAGAAATCCCCTAGTCCGTGGTAGGTAGGTCCACTACTTCCTCACTGATGGGCTGCAGAAGGCAGATGGCAGTGATTCAGCAGTGTTCTCACTGTCCGGTGGTGGAAGCTGTCTCACAGAACCTTCTAGTCTGTTGTCATGTGTAACTCGGTCTCTTGTCTTCTCCTCAGGGGGAAGTTTGTTGCCCTGGAGAACATCAGCTGCAAAATTAAGTCAGGTTGTGAGGGACACCTCCCATGGCCCAATGGTATCTGCACCAAATGCCAGCCTAGTGCCATCACGCTGAACAGACAGGTGAGGCTGCCCCAAGTGTTGGTGACAAGTGGACACTTCCTTCGTGGTGTTCCGTCCCTCTGTCCATTTATATTTTTAATTATATGTTTTTTGTTCTGTTGTGGGTTTTTTTTTTTTTTTTTTGCTTGTTTGTTTTTGAGACAGGGTTTCTCTGCTGGAACTCAGAGATCTACCTGCCTCTTCCTCCCGAGTGCTGGGATTAAAGGTGTGTGCCACCACACCTGGCATTAGTTGCATGTGCCTTGTGTGTCTATGTAAGGTGTGTGCCGGTACCTGAATGGGGCGGAAGAGGATATTAGATCTCCTGGAATTAAAGTTACAGGGAGTCTTAAGTCTCCTGATGTGGTTGCTAGGAACTGAACTTGGATTCCCTGGGCAGCAAGTGCTCTTAACTGCTGAGTCATCTCTCTAGCTCCTCTGGTGTATTTAGATCTGCCTTTCTGTGGCAGCCATAAATGAAAGATAAGTTTCTAGTGCTTGCAGGTGTGGGGTTTAGAGTTTGATTCCATTTGGTTAGCTTGTGCAGAGAAGGGATTTTTCTTTAAAAGGCATTTAAAAATATTATTTTTATTTTATATATATTTGCCTGCATGTATGTATGTATTGTGTGTGCATGTGGCCAGAAGAGGAACTGGAGTTATGGGTAGTTACAAGTAACTGAGGGCTGTGAAGAGAACTCTGGTCCTCTGATGGAGAAGCCGGTGCTCTGAAGCACTGAGCCATCTCTTCAAGCTCTTTCTCATTTTAAATTTTAGTTATTTTGTTGTTTATTTTGGGAGGTGGGAACAGGGGAAGGAGGATTTTATCAACCAATAGCCTGAGCAGATCTCTGAAGCTGTACTGCCACCTCCCATGTAACACGTTTTTTAAAGGCAAAGTCACAACCGCTGAGAGTCTGAAAATCTCTTTGAGCTACATTTCAAGCCTGTTTACCTTGTTGAAAGAACTAAATTAGGCTGAGTCAAAGCTGAAATGAAAACAAACGGGTCTTGGACTAGCACACACATGATATCTCACATCTGTAACTACAGTCCCAGACCTCCAAGGACACCATGCATGCAGGTGGCACACAGACATGCATGTAAGCAAAACACCCAAATACATAAAAAACAAAACAATCTTTTTATTTATTTGTTTATTTATTATGTATACAATATTCTATCTGTGTGTGTGCCTGAAGGCCAGAAGAGGGCACCAGACCTCAGTACAGATGGTTGTGAGCCATCATGTGGTTGCTGGGAATTGAACGCAGGACCTTTGGAAGAGTGGGCAATGCTCTTAACCTCTGAGCCATCTCTCCAGTCCACAAAACTAAATCTTAAAAAAAAAAAATAATATTTTCACTAGTTTTTTTTTTCTTGAAAAAAAATCACATTGTTTCTGGTAGAATGTTTCACTTAAGCCCGCGTTTGTTAATTCTGCAGAAATACAGACATGTGGACAACATCATGTTTGAGAACCACACTGTGGCTGACCGCTTCCTTGACTTCTGGAGAAAGACAGGCAATCAGCATTTCGGGTATTTATATGGACGGTACACAGAGCACAAGGACATTCCCCTTGGCATCAGGGCTGAAGTGGCTGCGATTTATGAGCCGCCTCAGGTACATGGGTGCAGGACCGGCTGTGCGTGACGGGGCAGGTTGTTCCCAAGGTGCTGAAGTGCCCTTCCAGATAGCCTCTTTCCTTGTTTTTGCTATCTCTTGCTGTACACTCTTGGGCATGCACACATTATACATACATACACATGAAATTATTGAAGAATAAGATCACAGCCTTGCTAGGTGGTGACACACACCTTTAATCCCAGCATTCGGGAGGCAGAGTACAGAGTGAGTCCAAGGACAGACTCCAAAGCTACAGAGAAACCCTGTCTTGAAGAACAAAATGAAACAAACAAACAAAAAGACCACAGCCTTATTTCACATAGCTCGTTAGGTAGACGTGCCTTGCAGTCCCAAGTCCCAGGTCCGTTCCCACACTTTATAATCTGTGTGTGGTGGCACATGCCTGTGACCCTGACATTAGAGATGAAGGCAGGAGGATCAGAACTGTAAGCTCATCCTAAGCTGCACAGCAAGTTGGAGGCCAGCCCAGGAGTCACGAGACTTTGCATCAAAAACCAAAAATCCTGGCTGTTGTCCTGGAACTCACTCTTGTAGACCAGGCTGGCCTCAAACTCACAGAGATCTGCCTGCCTCTCCCTCCTGAGTTCTGGGGCTAAGGGTGTGTGCCACCACCGCCTGGCTGCCCCTTTGCTTTCTAGGTCCCTGTAACATAGCCATAAGCTTCTGGTTTAGAGTGATACTCCTGCCCTGGGCTTGGTAAGCTCTGTTCCTTTCAGGAAATGACATTTGTTACCACTTAAAAATTTTCTTCCTCTAATTCTTGTTTTTGTTTCCAAACAGGGCTTCTCTGTGTAGCTCTGGCTGTCCTGGAATTTACTCTGTAGACCAGGATGGCCTGGAACTCAAATTCTTCTGCCTCTGCCTCCTGAGTGCTGAGATTAAAGGTGTGGGCCACCAGCACCTGATTTCCTCTAAGTTTCTTAGGTTTATTTTGTGTATACACAGTGGAGGTCAGAAGACAACTTTGGGAGTTAGTTTTCTCTCCCCGCCAGGCCATCAGACTTGGCAGCTCTCGGCTTGTTGAGCCATCTGTCTAGGTGACACATGCTCCAGCCACGGCCAGAGCCCATCAGATGCTCTAGCCGAGTAGCTGAGTATCCCAATTTGGGGTGTATGTTTATTTTCTTAGTTCTGTAGCCAAGACACTGAGTCAGAGGGACAGTGCACCAAAGCGGTTCTGGGATGTCTGCCACGTTGCTGTGGCAGTCTGCCTTCCAGCCAGGCTGTGTAGAGCAGAATTACCTGTCCACGGGAGTTCTGAAAGCAGCTCCATTCTCCTAGTGAAGGTTTCCTGTAGGCACATAGCAGACCAACCTTCCTTGGGGCCCATTTATGTTTGTAGCTGCAGATCTTCAGCAGCGGGGGAGCTGGCGGGTGGAGCTGGACGTTGTAGAGGCCCTGCCCATCAATTCTGTCTTCTGTTTTCTAACTGCGCTGCCTCATAGATTGGTACACAGAACAGCCTGGAGCTTCTAGAAGACCCGAAAGCTGAGGTGGTTGATGAGATTGCTGCCAAACTTGGCCTGAGGAAGGTATGAGGCCTCTGCCAGCCAGGTGACCTTGGGGATCCACAGGTGGAATGGCTTAGTCTGGTGTGGGACCAAACCCCCAGCTGACAACGTAGGCTAAACCCTTTGGACCCTCGTTTGTGTTCATTAGTGCAAATTGCTTTGATGGTTCTGGCGTAGAGTGAGGTGAGCATTCTCTGGCACACACAAAGGTGAGCGTTATGGCGCGTGTGTGTCAGTCCTGACTCCTCTCCCCCCAGCTCTGCTGGCTGAGGGCCTGCTGCCTAGAGCAAGACTCTTAACTATGAGCCCACGTAAAAGGTAGTCACCGTACCTGAGGACAGTTACCACATTGTACACTGTAGGTGTACTCACTGCTCATGTGGCTTGCTTCACTTTCTGTCCTAGGTTCCTGGTACCCTTCCTGCATCAGCATTGATCTCCTGTGTCTGATGTAGGTCCCCAAAGTTTTCATGGTCCTGCGTCAGTTGGTAGATAGGAGGAAAGAGTCCTTCCAGTCCGTGATTTGATGAGGTCCTAGGGATAAGGTTGTGCTTTTTGTTTTTAAGATGCATTCTTGTTTTGTAGCTTGCACTGATCTCAAACTTAAATCCTCCCTCCTGCCTCAGATTCCCACTGTGAAGATTACAGATTATGCTACCATCCCTGGCTTGTTAGTATTTACAGATTCACCTTGTGGAAGTCCAGTTCAGTATTAGTAGTCATGCAAGTTTTGCCCTTTACTTGGACAGGGAGGAATGAGCTATGTGTATTGGTTCATCTTACCTCTCTCTGAGAGGGCAGGAAACCTAGGCACGTGACTGAGGGAGTCACAGCAGAGTTCTCCCTGCTGAGTCAGCACCTCATTGTCAGGTCGTGGTGTGGTGCGAATTCTGGAGAGAAACTGGGCCACACTTCTGTTTCATAACAACATAATATAAAGTCTGAAGGTACTTAAGTTACTATCAAAATCCAAGTCCCTCGGCTCGCTCTTGCCTTAGCCTGTTTTGGACTGTGCTCATTAAATGGATCCTCAGGACTTGCTTTCTCTGGCACCATCCTTTTTGGTTTGTGCTCATCTGAGCACTGTTAAAACAGCAGTGATCCATAGGGTACCAGTCTGCTGGAGAGGGTGGTGGCCATCTGTCGGTTTTCCCAAGGATGCAGCTTTGCTTGTCCTCTGGCTCTCAGCTCTCAGTGCCTTCTGACTCTGGAGGCCAAGGGCGGCCTAGATGATAGAGCATGCAGACCGTGTTGCAGTGGGGCATTGAGGCTGCACAGTACCTGGGTTCTAGGATTGGCCCCAGTGATGCAGCTTTAGGCCTTGTGCCCTCACCCCTCTGTTGTGGCATTCCTTTCATCCTAGGTGACTCTCTCCACAGAGTCTGTTTCTTCCTCGTTCAGGACCTACCCCAGGACACCTTGCTGCTTGCTTCTTGTCTGTCTTCCTTTTCGGAGCTTAAACTCCTTGGTGCATCCTGTTGGTCTCAGTCTCAGTCACAAGATGTTCTGACTTCTAACAAAGTGTGGGCTTGAGTGGTCCTGAGCAGAGCCTGTTTGCAATGGATGAATGTTTGTCATGACCGCACCAGAGGAAGGTGCCAGTTTCTTCCTGGCAGCAGAGTCAAGGAACTGTGCTCTCAGCTTTACCTGGCTCAGGAGCCAGAAGGGTTGTCTGAAGGGCACTGCTTTTATGTTCCCTGGACAGAAGCCGTCTGTTGTATGGAGATACTCAAAAGATGCTTTCCTTTTCCATTAAGGTTGGATGGATATTCACGGACCTTGTCTCAGAAGATACCCGAAAGGGTACAGTCCGATACAGTCGGAATAAGGTGAGACGGAGACAGGAATGTTGCTTGGCCCGAGACCTCATTAAGGTAGAGCTGACTTGGATCTCTCTGTCTCTGCACAGCTTGCCAGTAACTTTGAAGACACTCTTCCTAGTTGAGGCTCAGCCTGTTGATTCTGCTCCACAGAGCAGATCCCACTCACCTGCCCTTGCAGCTTTGTGGGAGTGGGTTACCCCAGGCTTTTTAATATGAATCCCCAATGGCTGGGAATCACAGCTGTTTGTCTCAGTGTTTTGCCTCAAGTATTTTTGAGGTGCTGTAGCGTAGCTCTTTATTTTTTTTAAGACAAGGATCTCAGTATGTAGCATTGGCTAGCCTGCAACTCACTGTATAGACTAAGCTGGCCTCAAACTCAAGAGGTCCACGACCTCCCTTTGCTTCCCAAGCGCTGGCATTAGAAGCGCTCTTTCTTATTTTTTTTTTTTTGATTTAATTTTAACTTGATTGATTTATTGTGCCTGTGTGCACACGTGTGCCATGGCACACATGTGGAAGTCAGGGGACAGCTTGTAGTTGTTTCTCTCCTTTCACCGTGGGGGCCTTGGGATCGAACTCAGGTCAGTCAGTCTTGTTAGCAAGCATCTTTATCTTTACCTGCTTTTATCTTGCTGGCCCAGCTCTTAATATTTTCTACAGAAGAAATGGAAGCTTGTTTTGACACATGCTGTGAATTTGATATGCCGCCTCTCTTGGCTTAGGACACCTATTTCCTGAGTTCAGAAGAATGCATCACTGCAGGAGACTTTCAAAACAAGCACCCCAACATTTGCCGGCTCTCTCCTGATGGGCATTTTGGATCCAAGTTTGTTACTGCAGTGGCCACAGGTATAAATGGGACAGAGTAATGCCATAGATACTACTGCCCATTAATGTTTGTTCTTCTTTGCAGCAGCTTTTCATCCTTAACTTGGTTATAATCAGCTTCTTAGTGAACCTTTGGGGGCATAGATTCCTCCTTTTGTTTTACAATAAAAATTCTGAGTTAGCATCATCCATGAGACTGGGGCCAAGTCAGAACTTCTCCATGGCTATCTTCAGGTCTAATGTTCTCATCACAAGTCTAGGGTAACTCTTGCTTTTGGATGTGTGCCCCTTTTCAGCAGCTAGAAGTGACTGTGCCAGAGGAGAGACTTCTGCTGTCCTAACTCACTGCACTTGCTATTGTGAATGGGGCTGCCATTATAACAATTTCCACAAGTGTTAAATAATACATGTCTTACACATTATAACTATATAGTAGGTTGTAATCTATATAAACATGTACCAGACCTTTGATTATATCCCTACAGAAAAGTCAGGCATAGGGCCATAGAATTGAAAGGTGTAGGGATTTGGAAATTGAGAACCAAATTGTAAGCATGTGATCCACTTAGCTAGATTTTAAAGTAAGCACAGATTCTGACTGTGAAGGTCTCATCTCCCCAAGGAACCAGCAGTCCTCTTGTCTAGGTGACCTACTTTCTGGTTCTTACAGTGTCCTTCCCAGTTCACACAGCCTGCATTCAGGGGCCTCGTTCAGGCTTCTGTTTCTTAGAATGCCCCTACCAGTTCACACTGCCTGAGCACAGGGACCTAGATCGGGTCTCTGCTGCCTTTAGATTACTGGTTGAAGAGACTGTCACCTTGCCAGGATTTTTAAGCCTTATTAAATGCTAGCAAGTTTGTCTTTCCTATGGTCTGTGTAGATTTTTTGTTTTTGAGTGAACTCCTGAGTGAGATACGGTGGCGGCTTTGCTCTGTTATGTTGATATAGAGGCATGTTAATTACCACACATATGGGCTGGTGACATAGTTTTCTAAATTGTTGCTATAGTTGAGTGCTGAAGGGAGTGAGTGGAGGTGTTGGCTAGGATTAAGAACACCAGAAAGTCCTTTCTTGTGGGTTGGTAAGGCAGAGGGCGCTGAATGGTCTGGATACACACAAGGCTGAGCAAGAGATCCGCCGTAGCTCCATCCTGATCGCCAGGGGGATGGATGGCCTCCTGAGATGCTTCATGCTTTATTTGCTCAAGCTGAGCTGTGTGCCCCTCAGTAGGTATTGCAGTTGTGTGCGTATGTTTTCTTAGTGGTTTGTAAAGCAACATAGGGGTTGCCTACATGAACATGTAGGGGCGGAGACATGGATCAGTCCTTACTGTTTGTGAAACCTCAGTATCTGGCAGGATGCCTAGCAATTTCAACATCCCACAGAAGCACTGCCCCGCATTGAGACAGCCAGAAACACCTTCAGAGACTCCAGCACTGCCACCGTCACTGAGAATGGCTGTTCTGGGCGCCTGTGGGCTTCCATAGTAATTCATCTTCTTAGATTACTGTCTCTATGGAGAATTGGTCCCATGGGCCAAAGGAACTGGCACATTTTTAGATTTTTAAGTAGCTTACATCTTGGAGACTGGTTACTTTCAGTTACTGAGTCACATTGCTTGTTGAGAGTTTGGGAATCAGATCACCCATGATGTCCTCTGAAGGGACCTGGAGCTGTGCCAGTGATGACGTAATGACTGGCCTTGTCTTAGAAGGTCTGTGCTCAGCCTGCTCCTCCAGATGGGGCTTTGACTGAAGAAGAGCTGCTCAGGGCTGCAGACCTCGTCCAGGGCCTGAGCCATCACGGCTTCCTAACTCAAAGGCAAGTGTACTCTTTCCCAGAGTTAGAGTCTTTGGCCAACGACAAGTGGGGACCCTGGAGAGGTACTGAGAAATACCTGCTGCAGTCCCATCTCCTCGTTGGAGAGGATGCTGGGAGCTACATCCTGGGAGTTAGTTGTCAAGGACCGGCCTCAACAAAAACACTTACTACTAGGGTAGGGGCATGGGAATTTTAGGACTATAGCAAATATGAAGACGCCTAAAAATAGTAAGACAGAAAACATAGAAAGTATTGGGAGGGCATTCAGTGACTGAAATCATGAAATTCGCTCACATTTATTTTTCCACAGCTTTTATACCCAACATGAAGGGTGTGGAGGGGGGGAGTAACAAAAGACTTTATTAACATGATACAAAGGGTGGCTCACACAGTCAATCACATTATCACTCTGAGACATGTAGTCATAGCATTCTGTAGTCTAGGTAGCAGAGATGCTCTAGATCATGTATCCTGTAGACCGCCCCTCCCCAGGTGACCTCACAGTTAGAAAAGAAAAGAAAAGGAGCAGAAGTATGTTTGCATATCCTGACCACCTGTCAGGATGGCATGGACCTATCTTAATGTTAAAAAAACCAAGCAGTCACATCCTGAGTTGGGACGGGCAACTATGCCTGTCAGTCTCCAAATTCTCTGACTCTCAGACAAGGTGGAAATGGGCCTGCATTTCTTGGCCTCCACAGTTAGTGCCTCTTGTGCTGGGCTGGTCTTCTGCAAGCTGAGCTCAGGTACCTTCTGGGTACCAAGGCATACTTTGCCCATGGTTTTTCCTGACTCCCTGTGATTTTCCACAGCTTTTCTGGCTTGGCTGTGTATAGTGGTTTTGCTCAAATGATGCCACATTACATGTGAGGTTTTCATCGTTGGCTGTCGTGTGTGTTTCTTCTCCACTTGAGAAAGGAGTGTGTGTGTGGTTCAGGTTACCAATATCACTCCCCCACCCCTCCCCCTTTTTTCTGATGCTAGAGATTGAACTCAGGGCCTCATACTTTCTGGATCTACTGAGCTATATCCTGAGCTCTCTTTGGAGGGTAGGGTGGGGAAGGCGAGGATCTCATGTGGTCCAGGCTAGCCTTAAACTAGCTGGAATTAGAAACACGCATCGCCAGGCCTGGTTTCTGGTGTATTTTATACATACTACTTTCCATTCTCTCCACACAAGACTTCTTTCCCTCGTGACCTGTCACATTTGAATGACTGATCTGAAAACCAGCCCCAGTTTGCAGTACCTGAGCAAGTAGTTGGACCTATATGACTTCTCTTGCGTTCCCCCATCCTCGGTTCTCTGCATTCGAAGCTTTTGTCTGCTATGAGACATGCTACACGGCTGGGCCTGGCTGTGCTGATGCTGTGGAATGGGCTCGTTAGGACCGAAGAGCAAGTGCCAGGCTCTGATCAGCACTTTGAGCTACAGTTGGCCTTCTGCATGTAATGATGGATCGCTCAGGGGCCTCCTTGCCTTCAGTTCCACTCTTTTCGATTGTTTCTCAGATGTGGTACAGATGCATTTGAAACCCAGAGGGTCTGGCTCTCGTCTCTGATTTGTAACTGTTTTCAAGCTGAACCAGAGGTAGAGTTTTAACATCTCCGTCGCTCAGAAAGAACAATGGACACTGGCGTTACCTGGTGTGTAGCCCTGATTCGTGGAGGACACCTACCCAGGCCACGCTTGTTCTGCCCTCACCTCCCAGTGTCAGGCTCTCTCTGAAATAGCCATTTATACTCTCTTTGTCCTTAATATTTTCGTAAAACCATATTCACATTTTTTATAAATTACAATGTAACAGATATATAAATTTGTTAATTTGTATTTTCTGTGTGTACCTTTTGTGTTTGTGGACAGACGAGTCATAGCTTGTGTGCTGTGGAATGCATGCCGAGGTGGGAGACCCCTTGCAGGAGCCATTTCTCCTGTGTTGTGGGTTTAAAGATCAAATTCGAGCAGATGATAGGCGCCCTTACTCTCTGTCTCTCCAGCACCCCCCAGTGTTAAGTCTTTGTGGCTGGTGCTCGGGAAGAGGGATGTATACAGAGCAGTATTTGTGTCATGAGTGTGCGGGACTGTAGAGACTGTAGGTGCCCAGCATTATCCCGTATCATAGTAGGAGATCCTGGGCACTGACTTGTAAGACCATGCAGAGTTCTGTAATCTGATTGCTGCATATATGATCTGTGTGCTAGGATCAGTTTTCTCTTTTTATTATTTAGAGAGAATGTAGGGGTGGGGTTGGAGTATATCTGCATATAGGAGTGGAAGTCCCTTCTCTTTTCCTCCGTGGGTTGTAGGTCTCAAACTCAGGCCAGTCTTCAGGCTTTTGTGGCTGAGGTGTTTTTGTTTGTTTGTTTTGTTGTCTTGGAGTCTAAGCTGACCTTGAACTTGCTGTGTAGCAGTGGATGACCCTGAACTTCTGATCCTCCAGCCTCTACCTCCCCAGTGCTAGGATTCACCATTATGCCTGATTTATCCCAGAGATTGAACATAGGGCTTCCTGTATGTAAGACAAGAAATGTGCAACCCAGCCCCATACAGGTTCTGTTTTGTTACCTCCACACCTCTACTTCCAGCCTCCTTGCCTCCAAATCTCACTCAGGCGCTAAAGCTGGTGCGATGCGGGACAATGTCTGTCTTTATACTCTGATGTTCCAAACTGAAAGTCTGTGTGCTGTAAGGGCAGGAAACACCCCACAGCTCTGGACTCTGAAAACATGCTGTGGAGGAGTGAGCCTCGTGCCCCAGACATCCTTCAGACCACCCCGCAGAGTCTTGACAGCTGGAGGATAGGTGTCATGAAATGCTTCTGATTACCCTTGGTAGATTCTCTTAGAAGGTTTTTCTCTTACAGGTGGTCCGGACAACCAGGTTCACTTTGAAGGGTACCAGGTGTCCAACCAGTGCATGGCACTGGTCCGAGACGAGTGTCTGCTGCCTTGTAAGGACGCCCCTGAGCTCGGCTACGCCAAGGAGTCCAGCAGCGAGCAGTATGTTCCTGATGTGTTTTATAAGGTAATATCTACAGGCTAATGTGAATCTGTCTGGGACTCGTGTGATCTTGTTATACTTTGGAGTGACACCTGTGTCAGCGTTGTGTCTGGAGCCTGGCTCATGGGTCAAAGCGTCTGTCATTTCTGGAGCTTATTGTTGCTCACGCATTGCATGGCGTGGTCAGAAAAGGAATCATATGTTTGGTTTGGTCATGTTACACCAAATCTTACTGTTGCAGCCCACTTCTGCTTTGTAAAGATGAGAGGCATTTGACCATTGTTGGAATTCTGGCTGCTACAGCCACTCAGTCTTGTGCTGTGGAGTTTCCAGATGGAAGGACAAATGACAGTAGGAAGGAAACACCAAGTCCGAGGCTAACACACGTCCAGCAGACACTGACTAAGGCGCCCTCTTAATGCAGGCAGCTGGAGGTCCAACCAAAGTCCTGTATCTGTGCAGAGCCGTATCTTCCTTGAGTGAGGCGTCCAAGTACCCACAGCAGTAACAGACACCAGCTGGGGAAGTCGATGAACTTGAGTCTTCCCTTCCCACTGCAGGCACCCTGGTACCGTGGGATGGACATCAGGAAGCTCAGGAAGTGGCTGACTTCTCACCCCTAGGGGTTTTACTCTTGGGCTGTGTGTTGTTTTCCTCTCCCTGTCACAGAGTGGGGGGGGGCACCAAACACCCTCAGACAAGAGAGCCTTAAAAATACTTTGAGACAACATGCTCGGATCTGAAATGGGGTGAGGGCAACCTCACTTACAAGGCCAGCTTTCCAGTGAGCTCAGCTTTCACAGGACACTTTCCCAGCATAGTGCACCTCATGGCTGACAAGATACGGTTGTTTCTGTTATCCTTGTCTGGAGTAGCTTGGCTGACTTTCTCTTAGGGTTGGTTTTACTCGTGGTTCCTGTGGTTCCTATGTCCAGTCGTAATGTTGCTGTGCTCTCTGGGACAACTCTCAACCTTTCCTGCTCACAGGGATGGATGGCTTCTCACTGTCACGGCCCCTGCCTTGTTTGTTTGTTTTAGATCTCTGTATTTTATTTTGTTGGGGGGGGGGCAGGGTCTCACGGTATAACTTGTCAGTATGTAGACCTGACAGGCCTCAAACCTATGTAGATGTGGTTACCTCTGCTGAGTGCTGGAGTCACGAGGTGTACACCACCACACCTAGCAGTAATTATATTTCTTATGTATGGGTATTGTCTGCAAGTATGACGGTACTGCATGCCTGCTACCCATAGAGGCCATCAGAGACTGTTGTGTTCCCTGGAACACTCCAGTCACAGATGGTCGTTAGCGCTGTGTGGGTGCTGCAGACTGAACCTGGCCCTCAGGCCAATCAGCCAGTGTGCATAACTGCTCGCCAGCTTTTTTTTTTTTTTTTACGATTTAGTTAGCTGGGCAGTGGTGGCTCACACCTTTAATCCCAGTACTCGGGGGACAGAGGCAGGTGAATTTTAGGACGGCCAAAGCCACACAAAGAAACCCTGTCTCAAAACAAACAAAGGGTGAAATTTTATCGACAGTGTTGCTATTGCACGGGCAGCTCTTTGGGTGTCTTGTGTAGACTGTCCACTGAGGTTTACTTTCTCCATTCTTGTTTGGTTTTGTGTGGTGGCTGATGTTTCCCAAACAATGTCAAATGACTGTGTCCACCCCTGTCTGCCTGCTTTCTTTTTTTCTTTTGTTGAGGGAAGGGGTGGGAGCAGGGTCTCACTGTGTCACTGGCCCCTAATTTATAGTCCTGCTCTCTGCACCTTCTGTGTACAGGCTTTATGAGCGGGAGGCAACAGACCCAGCTTTTGTCTTGTTTGAGATACAGGGTCTTTCTATGGAGACCTGGCCATCCTGGAAGTCACTATGTAGACCAGGCTGGCCTCAACTCAAAATAGATCTATCTGCCTGCCTCTGCCTTGCAGAGTCAAAGGTGTGCGCCACCGTGCCTGCGATTGCCTTGATTTTCATCTTAAAGGTCGGGCTTTCAGATTTCATCCTTAGCTATGAGTCTGGTAAAGGTGTTGGGTTTTTATTTTTAAAGTAAAACCAGACAGGAAACCTTTCTTTGTTTTTCTCTCTTTCACCAGATCCCTTTGTTTGTCTGGTCTGTGTCAGTGAGAGCATGCAGGAGTGCGGTGTGCGTGTGTGTAGCTCCTCGGGGTTAAGACACCATTCGTCATGTGTTTACTTAAAGGCAGGAAAGAGCCAAGACACCTAAAGCGGGCAAAGGAGGCGTATTGTCTGTGTGGACAGAAAGTTATCCCCCAAGGATCAGGCTGTTGCTGCTTATTCCCAGCACTGAAGGGTGCGAGGTCTAGAAGTTGTTCTGTTCTCAACTGCCTGCACTGCACACGAGGCCCACTGGCAAATGCCTGAGCATAGTCACCGCAGAAAAACGGGAAGAAGACGTGTAGTGATAAATTTTTAAAAAGATTTATTTTAATTTTTTGTGTGTGTTTGCCTGCATGTATGAATGTGCACCTCATGTGTATAGTGCCCATGGGTCTACATTGCATCCCATATAGCAAGTTAGAGGCAGTTGTGAACACCATGTGGGCGCTGGAAGCTGAACTGAGTCCTCTGCAAGAACAGCAAGGGCTGTGAGCTACCGAGCTGTTTCTCTAACCCAGTGACAACTTTTGCTTTTAGATTCTTTTTAATTTAAAGAAAGAAGAGAATTGTCGTTAGAATAAACAAGCACCTCTATTAACTGGTGAGGAAATCCGAATATCAGTTCAGATTTTGCAACTGTTACATAGACTTCCTTAAGTCGCTTGTCTGGGGATACCTGGGCACCCCAGCGCTGTGAGACGTTTGTGGTAGAGAACCATGACTTTGAACTGGTGGAAGATGCATGATTAATAAAAACCAAAGACAGAATTGGGGTTCAACCTGAAGGTCAGAAAAACAAAGCAGTTAGCCACTGGCTCTTTCCTCTTCCTCAGTCTGAAATGTCAAACCTGCCTCCATGGATCTCAGAATGAGGCTGACTGAGAGCTGTCTCCTCCTGTTTTATAATGCTCTCTAGGGCTGGGGTTAGAGGTGTGTGTCATCATGCCTGGTCTGTGAGGCTGGCCAGCGGGGCTGCGTTAACTAGAGTACAGGTGAATGGCACACAGGGGGCTGTGATAGACAGCGGCGGAGCACGGTGAGCAGAGACAGGAGGGCTACACGCAGTGAGTGGTATGGCCACTGAGAGGCTGACTAGAGCTGGGCGCTGGTTGCGCACACCTTTAATCCCAGCACTCAGGAGGGAGAGGCAGGCAGATCTCTGTGAGTTCGAGGCCAGCCTGGTGTGCAGAGCGAGTTCCAGGACTGGCTCCATAGCTATTGGGAAACCCTGTCTCGTGGGGGAGGGGGAGGGGCGGCAGCAAAAAGAAGGTTGGCTGGGGGATTCAGTGCCTGGTGTGTAGAAAGATCCCACACTGGGAGTGGGCCAAGGAGGCAATCTGAATCTGTCAGGGCCTTGTTGTTTAGATTTCCTGGGTCTCAGTGTACGCAGTGAGAGGAGAGACAGAGTAGGAAGTCCTGAGACTTTCAGACCAGGCGTCAAGGGCACTGTGTCGTCCTGGTGGGACCACTGCCGTGGATATTGCTTAAGAGAATGAAGGTTTAAAACCGGGCATTAGAGTCACAGTGTTGTTGTCCAGTGGCCTAGACAGCATGGTAGGAGAGAATGGTGAAAACTGGGCCTCTGTTCAAGGACATAAAAGGGGAAAGAGGGAAAAGGAGACAGAAGTCAAGCCTAGGGAGAGAGCTGAGGTGTCTGGGAAGCTTGAGGGAGGTCTGCGCTGTGTTTACTGCCAGTAGACTGAGGAGCAGACTGCTCTCAGGAGCCTGCGGTTGGCTGGAGCTGTGCTTCAGGGGCAGAGCAGAGGTGGCCACATGAAAAGTGGGAGTTTTGTCTGCCTCCGGCTGGAGCTGGTCGTGGAGGGGTGGAGTCCTGGGTGGTGGGTGGGCAGCAAAGCAATCAGCACTGAGTGGAGAGCAGAGTGGAGTGAGGAGTGAGGCTGGCCGCAGAGGGGAGCGTCGGGCCTGGAGATGGTGGAGATGCGTGCACCTCGAATCTGCACAGCTGCACAGGGTGTATGAAGGTGAGAGAGGAGCAGGCACAGGATGGGACATTTTCATTACTACTACACATGTGCTTACACAAACCAGGAATCACAAACTTAGAGGAAATCCGCACATAGCTCCCATCACAGGCTCCTTAGTCGCCCTGGCCCCATCCCTCACGCCCACAGCCATGACCGCAGTGATTGACATCCCGGGAGGCTGCCTTCTTCTCCGTCTCGACACTTAGCTGAGCACCTTCATCAGTCGGTCATCAGTCGGTCATCAGTCGGCCATACCTGGCACAGTTGGGTGCTGCTCCTGCCCATGGTGGGGCAGGCAGACAGGCACCCCAGAGTTAAGACGCCAAGCAGGTCCACCTCTCCAGGGATGACTCTTGCATCCAGAGGGTCATCTTGTCATTGTGGTGGATGGTGGACTTGGCAGGCCACAGAAAGTGGTATGGAAGGTGGGTTTTAGGACATTCCTATTAGATGTCATTTAGAAGAGGCTTTGGCAGTCAAGTATCAGATTCCAGGGACCTTAATGAGAAGAGGCAGCAGAGCAGAGGTGTGGGACCGGGCCCGTGCTTGGGCACACGCTGCACTGGATAGGCCTAGCCAGTGGGGTGGAGGAAGAGGTCTCCGTTCGGTCCACTGTGGAGTTGTGGGCTCGGTAGATGCTGCAGGTTTAGAGGCATTGCCGAGACACAGTGAAGAGCGGGAGCAAGCCAGCTTCTCCGTGAGCAGGGGTTTGCTGGAACAGTGTGCTAGGTCTGTTTATGAGGACGGTGAGACCAGGCGCCAACATTTGCATTTTTGAAAATAGGATATTTCTTTGTATCCTGAAACTCAGGATTCTCTTGCCTCAGCCCCCTGAATTACAGGTGTGTTCTCCCATGCCCAGCTGACGCTGATGTCTGGAGCTGCACTGGGCTGACATGGTATCCCCAGGCAGTTGCCAGTGGGGTTGGAAAACTCAGGCAAGAGATAGGGGCTGATAATGGGAAGCTCAGGTTTGTCTGCATAGAAGGTGCGGACTGCTGTTCCAGAAGAGTGCAAGGAAGGCTGAGATTGCAGAGGAGAGCCAGAGGGGAGCGGTGGGCACCCCAGGACGCTGCCCTGTGCGAGCAGCTGTGAAAGGGGCGAAGGTCCTCTCCTCAGAGGAGTGATGTGGGACTGTGCTGACAGTGGCCTGGGCGAGGACTAGGCCGACATCATCCCTTCCAGTGGGTAGGAGAGAGGACCTCTAACGTCCATGAGCTCCGTTCCGAGGTCGGATGTGGAAGTTGTTATGGCACCCCCAGGAGCAGTGCTCACAGAGATCCGCCTGCCTCTGCCCCCACTCCCTTGTGAGACCCTGTCTTTAAAAAAAAAGTTAATCTCTGTCGTCATCTGTTAGAAATAAAATTGTTTGTTGTAGTGTTTGGTTTTAAAACACATCTCACTATGTAGCCCAGGTTAGCTGGCCCTGAGCTCTGGGTCCTCTTGCCTTCCCAGGTGCTGGGGGGATTTCATGCTTGCTACCCTGTGCCCCGCTCCAGATTCTAGGAGGACACAAATCAGGTCTGAATGTGACCTGAACATCGCCTGCCTGCATTGCATACCTGCCAGGGCAGCCGCGAGCCTACGCTCTAGGTATAGACGAGCGAGCTCTTAATGCCTCTGGCTCTGCCGCCTGTTATTGACACCATTGTTCCTCACGCACTGGGAACAAGGACAGCGCCTGTGACGTGTGCTGTTGGAGCCAGGCAGACCAGGCCATGCAGGATCCACCTTGGCAAGTACCTGAGAAGTACCAGCTGTTGCCTCTGGTGCCATCCTGCAGATGTTCTTTGGATGGGTCTTCCGTGTCCCACAAGATCTTGTGCTCTGAGTGCTTCTCAGATGAGTGCTACTGGTGATGTCCAGCATTGTTAGTGGAGCAGCAGCTTCTCTAAAGCAGGTGACACCAACTAGTCTGCGAGTCCCTCACCAAGCCACAAAGCCTGGCTGACTGGGAACGACAAAGACGTCAGTATCTGTGTTTCTCTTTCATGTCAAGACCATGGTGCCAGTGCTTCCAGATGTGGCCTGCAGTAGGTGGTGAGGCGCTGGGGACCGGGACTGCTCACTCTTCCTTGTCTTGCTCCAACTGCAGAGAAAACTGCTGACCCTGGCAGCTGTCACACTTAGAATAAGATATCTTCCTTCTAGTGTATTCTGTCTGACGTTTGCTAAGGCCCGTGAAAGTAAATGCCTTTAAGATGGTGTGTAGGGCTAGGGATTGGCTGTGGGGCAATGGGGCTGCAACACCTTTTTTCCTTAGTGAGCAGGAAAGGCACGGTTGGGTAGTTAATCTGGACAAGAACAGCACAACACAAAGAAAGGTGGGGGCCTCTAACCAGAGAACTCCCTGGGGGGGAAGATTAAAGTGAACAGGTGCTGGGAAGTGTTTCTGCATATTAGAGCTTAATTAGATTTGAAGATGAATTCCAGATGGGCTCATTATGTGTGAGTTGTTGCAGGTTGTTTCTTGTAGGGGCAAGCGTGTATTTTTGGAAATGGTGATTTAGTTTGATTGGGTTTGATTCCTGCCCTGTCTCCATCAAGAAACTGTCTCTGCAGAGGCCTACGATCCCTCAGTAGGCCAGCCACATCTGTGGAACCACTGCCGTAACATGGAGGCCATCCTGACCCTGTGGTCACGTGTGGGGAAGGACAGGACAAGTAACCCTTCCCCTGGTCAGTGGAGCATAGTAGGTAACACAGGAGGCAGATGAAGTCTTTGTTGGAGCCTCTGTAGGTAACAGACAAGAAACAGGACCGGTGTGGGGCCAGCGATGTCCTAGTAGGGTGGTGAGTTTGACTTAGCTTGAACAGTTTGCAGTGATTGTCTAAGAAGACAGCCTGGCTCTCTGCGGCTCCCTGGCAGGTGTGGCGTGCTGGGAGTGGCCCCATGGCACACCTTGGGAACACATGGTTGGCAAACAGTCTGGGTCTGAGGGCTTCAATAAACAAACTCTTGTGTAAGGACTTAGAATTAGAAATTATGGACACATAATTTATACACATGAATGACTCGTAATGTTAGGTGGTGATAGAAACCGACTCCTCCTGTAGGATTTTTAATAAACAGCATCAGTCCTTAGGAATTTATTTCTAGAGCTCTGTTTGAACTCAGCATGTTTGACATAAATCAGATCTAATTGTCATTTTATGATTAATGAACATATGTTGACCGTTTTTCCCCATAATTAAACTTTATGTTCTGTGCATCTGACAAAGCAAAACAGGTTTAGACTTTGACATATTGGTGGTGATTTTGTATGTGTGTTTGTGCGTGTGTACATGTGTGTGTATATACACCTTTTTGTACATGTCTTTAGTTTGTGTATGCGCTGATTTTTTTTTTTTTACAAAGTCCGGTTTTCAGAAATGTAATTTTTTTATATTTAATTTAATTCATTTATAGTTTTTCAAGACGAGGTTTCTCTGTGTAGCTCTGGTTTGTAGACTAGGATGGCCTCAAATTCATAGAGATCTGCCTGCGTCTGCCTCCCAGATGCTGGGATTAAAGGAGGAAGTGACTGTGAGGAACACAAGTCCTCCTTAGAAAACTTCAGACTGTTTTCACTGCTCCCTGTCTTGGTGCCCGGTTAAGCTGGGGTGGGTGCGTAGTATATCCTCTCTTACAAGGTGCCCCGGAACTGATAGATTTTCCTTCTGCTTTTCATTTATGCATTTCCACAAAATCATGTTTTGTGGACAGGTCTCTAGTCCTGGACTCACTTATGGGAACCAGGCTGGCCTCGAACTCACAGAGATTTTCTTACCGGGATTAAAGGTGTGTGCTACCGTGCCTGACTAAATCATAATTTCCTAAAAGAGCCGGGCATAGAGTTACACACCTGTAATTTCAGCCCTGGCAAAACAGAGGCAGGATTGCCACAAGTTCAATGCCAACCTGATCCACATAGTAAATTCCATTCAAGTCAGTCTGGGATGCTGTTATAAAAATAATGATAAAATAATATAATAATAATTAAAAAATTGAAATACTGGTGTGGAAAAGAATAATGTCACTGTTGACCTGGTGTTGACCTTTGATTGTTTCAGGACATAGACAAGTTTGGCAATGAGATCACGCAGCTGGCTCGTCCCCTGCCTGTGGAATATCTGATCATAGACGTGAGTACTCGCCTGTGCTCACGCTCACTCTCTGGTTCCATAGCCCCTGAAAGCCAGGACTCCTGGGTGGTGCCCCAGAGGAAGATTTGAACCAGCTGCTGTCCCAAGGATTGTTTTTTGATTATCAGTCCCCATGTTTCCAAAAACTGCATAGTTTAAACAACTTCAGGATTGACTTTCTTCCTGCTGAAGTGCAAACCGAGGACGCCTGCCTCCAGCTTCCCCGTGACCTCATGGGGCCAAGTCCCAAGGGGATCTGAAGAGTTCTGTATATCTAGGCTGGTAACTGCCAGCTGCCCAGGAGGTAACAGAGGTTGCCCTGCCTGACACAGAGTAGTACTCCTGGGGCCACTCCATCTTGAGTGTCCTGGGGACACATGTATAACTTAGTGTCTGTGAGTAGTGGGACCAGTGTTGTCTCTGGGCAAACCTAGGAGGTAGGAGGAGCTGGCTGTGCTGCTGCTGCTGCTTCTGAGTCTCTGTTCCACACTAGAGAATGTGATGGTCTCAGGGCTACATTCGTGTCACATGGCCACGGGGCATGGAGTAGCATGGCTGCCAGTGTCGGGCTGGGGGCTGGACTCAGGATGGGTATGTGACTCAGGCATTTGAGCGGAGAGTCCCCCTGAGCCTAACCCAGAGATGTTCCATTTCAGTTGACAGCTCCTGAGAACATATTTATTACCTAGGCCGTAAAGGCATCTGTTTTTATACTGCCTGGGGTGTAATTAAGATGGAAACAGATTGGTGGAAGAGTTAGCGGGATTTAGGATGAGCTTCCAAGCCCTTCCCCCCTCCAGCCCCTCCCCACACCTTTCAGCAGCACGGGGTTGCTGGGGAAGTCTGCCCTGGAGTACCCGTGTTCTCTGTCCGTAGGAAAATGAGGCCTGGGAGAGCATTAGACAGGTACCCAGAGTGCTGTTTGGCTCTTTACCTGGTGCAGGAGATAGCACAGACCCAGACAAGGACAGTCCCCCCCCCCCCTTTTTTTTTTTAAAGACAGAGTCACACTATGTGGTCCTCACTGGCCTCAAACTTGTAATTCTGCCTCTGCCTCCTCCGGGCTGGAATTAGAGGTATGAACCACCATGCCCAACATATCTGCTGGGTTTTTGTTACTCTTATTTGTTTGGTGTTATTTGGACACCACCACCACCCTCCCCGTAGAGACAGGGTCTCATTTAGGTAGCTCTGGCTGTCCTGGTAATCACTATGTAGACCAGGCTGGCCCTATAGAGATCTTCCTACTTCTGCCTCCTAGTGCTGGGATTAAAGGTGTAAGCCACCCCACCCATCGTATCTTCTTAAATCTGAGATTGGATAGCTGTGTGACAGCAGAGATTTTGGGTCTCCCAAGTCCTGGGATGACTGCTTCCTACAATGCAAGTGTGAACCCAGGAATCTGTAGGGGTGGATTCCTTTGAGTCACCACAGACTTCATTTGTTGTTCTCCTGGGTCTCCTACAAGGTTAAATACCCCTCACCCTTGGAGGTTTGAGTGCGTAGCCTTGTATTTCCTAGGCAGGCAACCCTCACCCCTTTTGTTTAAGGAGTTATTTTGAGATAGGCTCTCCCTTAGTTGCCCAGCAGCCCTCAGACTTATCCTGCTTTGGCCTCTTGAATAACCAGGTTACAGTGTGAACCACAAATAACTCTGGATTACTGGTAAACACTAGCAAATGTTCTGCAGCCATCCTCCCACTCCTGTTTGTGCCGACCCAGAAGAAGCTTTTGCTTACAACTTGTTCAGACGTAGTTGGAACTGTGTTCTTGGTTACGTATTCAGTGCTCCGTGTGGGGTCAGCTCCCGTCCTCTGCCTCGGCACGTGTGAGGACCAGCCGTCTCTGAGCATCAGCTTGGCCTTACAGCGTGCTGACATTGGCACAGCTGAGTCCAGAAATAGCCTTTGCTGATGTAGGAAACAGATCAGAGTGGCCAGAGCGGCATCTCGTTCTTCAGAAATAGTCCCGCGGTAGTTAGAGTAGCTGTTCTGTATCTGGAGGGGCGTGTCACGTGCAGAGAGAAGTGTGTGACAGAAGTGTTGGTCACTTGCACTTAGGTGCTTTTGTGGGAAAGAGGCCTCTGCCAAGGGGACTAAAACCTGTGTTTGTATTGATTACTGCTCATTCACCAGTGACCCTGGGGCTTCTATTGATTATGTGTTAGATTTAAAATGCCCTCTGCATGGAGGAAAGAATTGGCTTACCTTTGGTAGAAAAGTCTTGACTTAGGCTCACTCACCTTGGAGGAAAATAGCTGCCCACGAGTGACTCTCAGCCCTGTCTGCAAAGACTGTGGGTCCCCTGAAATGGCCTCTCAGAGACTCTGGGAGGTAATTGGTATTTCTCAGGCCCACACTGACTATTGTTGAGAATTTTATGCCCTTAGTCTGCCTCTTGTTCTCCGTTCATTTCTGTAGTGTTGCTGTTGTTGTTTTCTTTAGATCACAACCACCTTCCCTAAGGATCCAGTTTACACTTTTTCTATTTCGCAAAATCCGTTTCCTATTGAGAACCGGGATGTGCTGGGTGAGACACAGGTAAGCTCTTTGTTTCAGAGACAAAATTTAAAGCAATGTCTAATATTGATTTTATTTTTCCCAAAAAGTGCCTTTTTCACACTTCCTCCATTTATTATTGGACAAGTCCCATGAGGCCCTGTTCTGGGTATTGGTCACTTGATGCCTGTGTTTCACCAGGCGATAGGTAACATGTTTAAATCCCCGAAGCCCTTGACCTACAGACTTGCCGGAAATTCACTCTTGCTTGGTTTTGTATTGTTTCCGATATTATTCATCATTTTCTGTTGTCTGCCAAGCTTTCTTTGTGTGTTACTGTCCTGTACAGTAGAGCAGTGCAGACAGTCTTACTCTGATGGCATGCAGTGTTGGCAGACTCTGTGCTCTGTTCAGCCTGACCTGAGCTGCCATGACTCCTAGTGCAGACAGTCTGTGCACGGAGCTGTTTATTTCAGAACAGCCGTGACATCTGCTTTCGTGGGGTCCTCGGAGCCTCTTTGTCCAGGGGGGTCAGGTGCTTGCGGGACAGTGCCAGTTAGTTGGCCAACCTTTGAGATGTCCGTGGTGATAAACTTGCTTGTGTCTGGTTGTGAAAGCACCCTCACCAGGTGTGATGACACAGACCTTTAATCCCAGTACTCAGGAGGCAGATGCAGGCCAACCTCTGTTATTTCAAGGCCAGCCTGGTACATAGAGTTTCAAGACAGCTAGGGGTAGGTAAAGGGATGTTTTCTGTTTATCTGACCAATGTCTTGGATCTGGGCCCACTTAAATAGCTGGGTCAGGTGTACTGAAGGCTTCCCCTGGGCTGGAGCGCCACACGAGCCCTGGACCCCATGCTGAAGCAGGGTGATGCGTCCCTGCTGTCTAATGGACTGTGTTAGTAGGAGCTGTCCCTTTTCCTGGGGTAGTGCGAGGGAGTGTTGAGAAAACATTGATTCTCCACCCTTCTTTCTTGACCGTTTCCTTAGGACTTTCATAGTTTGGCCACCTACTTGTCCCAGAATACCTCATCCGTGTTCTTGGATACCATCTCTGACTTCCATCTCCTGCTGTTTCTGGTCACCAATGAAGTCATGCCGTTGCAGGTACCAGCTCTACTTCCCTCTTGCTGTCTTTCCTCAGATCCCAAGTACTGGGGTGAAGTGTGTTGTCAGGAGATAACTGCCCGATGCACTTCACATGGGAACTTCACTGTTGATGGAGATATTTGACCTTTACCCTTTGAGGTGAAGGGAGTTTGGTTATTGAGATTCACCTGAAGAGCAGATGGAAGTAGGCTGTGTCCTCTAGCCTGGAGCCTTAGGGATCCCACAGTACAGACAGCCCCTGTTGCACAGCCTCAGCCAATGCCGTTGCTGTTTCCTGATGCTGCCTCTCCTTGTGAGCCAGTACTGTCTGTGGCCCGGGCCCGGAAGGATTGGCCAGTTTCCAGGTCCTGCACACACCGTTGCACAGTTGGCATTTTTAATATACACCATAAGGGGAAATGGATGACTGTTTTGCAGATGGTAGATGTTCTCTAACAGGGCAGGGCAGCAGACCCCACCAGGAAGTCTCTGTGTGTCTTGGGCATCCACCGCATGAGTGCCCTTTTTCCATGGTCTGTCTTTCCCTGAGATCCATAGAAATGCCAGGGAGATAAAAACCAGTCTTTCTGAACTTGATGACACTAACTCAGCCTTTTCCCTAAGATTTACAAAATAGAAGGCTCACTCTCAGGATATTTCTGTCCAGCAGCTAGATGTAATTGTACATCTATCTTGCTGAGTTTATATATATTCTCACTCACACACACACACACACACACACACATATATTAGTATATATACATTAACATGTCCACCACCTAGCGTGATACTCTATATGAGGGACTGTGTTTTCTGATTGTGATCAGCCTTCTGAATTCAGGATAAGCCCGAATCTGAATACAAGGTGACAAAAGGGTCTGTCTGCATCAGGTCCACCTTTCCATCCAGCATGGCTGTTTTTGCTATTACACCTGATAGGAAACATTTTTGAGAGGTACTGAGAGCCTTATCATAGAGACCTTTCTCTGTATGTTGACCCCAAAGGCCATAGGTGTTTGCAGGCACGTTGGAGAGGACAGGTCTTAGAGACTTGGGCTCCTATTCAACTCTCTGGCTCTAGGACCCAGGGATGTGTCTTCTTTGTTATTGGGACTACTTAAGCAGAATTTAAGTTTTAGTTAACTTTAGCATTTAAATGTATATGTTTAATATATTTAATACCTTTTTTTCTATCTTTATACTGGGGAATGAACCCAGTTCTTTGCACAATAGGCAAATACTCTGCCCCTAAGTTAGATCCCCAGTTAGAGCTAATGTATGTATGTGTAATGCAGTGACAGCCTGAGTTTTTTTTTTTTTAAGTTGTTATTGATATCAAGGGAAGAAAAGATAGTCTTTTCCCTCAATCAGCAAAGTGGAACCTTCTTTGTGGCTTTTTGCAGGACAGCATCAGCCTGCTGCTAGAAGCTGTGAGGACTAGAAACGAGGAGCTAGCACAGACGTGGAAAAAGTCTGAACAGTGGGCCACCATTGAGCAGCTGTGCAGTAAGTGTCCCCTGTCCCCAGTGTGGAGCATGAGCTCTGTCGTCGAAACTCTGGACCTCTAGCCCAGGGACCTCCTTGGAGCCTTTCTGGCTGGGTATATCCCAGCTATAATCCTTGAGTTTGCAGAGTTTTAAGCTGCATATTGTATGCCCCAGATAGACCCTTGAAATATCTGAAGATTTTGTGAGCACTGGGGTCGCCATGTTGTGACAGCTGCCAGTGAGGCAGTGACAGACTCTAGGAATCCTAAGAAGCTGGTGTCTGATTGTCCAGCTGCCAGTGCGGCAGTGACAGACTCCAGGAACCCTAAGAAGCTGGCGTCTGATTGTCCAGCTGCCAGTGCGGCAGTGACAGACTCCAGGAATCCTAAGAAGCTGGTGTCTGATTGTCCAGCTGCCAGTGCGGCAGTGACAGACTCCAGGAATCCTAAGAAGCTGGTGTCTGATTGTCCAGTCCTGTGCATAAGGTTGGTAATGGAAACCAAGTACTGTTGCAACAGCATCACAACATGGTGACATACGCACACCTTTAATCCAAGCATGGGAGACAGGAGTAGGCGGATCTCTTGGGTTGGAGGCCAGCCTGGTCTGCAGAGTTCCAGGATAGCCATGGCTGTTATACAGTGAAACCCTGTCTCAAAAAACAGCAACAAAATTTGTCTGTGTGTGTGTTTTTTTTAAATATTTATTTATTTATTATGTATACAATATTCTGTCTGTGTGTATGTCTGCAGGCCAGAAGAGGGCACCAGACCTCATTACAGATGGTTGTGAGCCACCATGTGGTTGCTGGGAATTGAACTCAGGACCTTTAGAAGAGCAGGCAATGCTCTTAACCACTGAGCCATCTGTCTAGCCCCCATGTCTGTGTGTTTTTGACTGAAACTTCAGTCGTTAATATTGGGAAAACAACATCTCCTAGACAGACTGACTCTTCGGGCTAGAGTGGCATGCTTTATTCTTAGCGCTATCCTGTGCCGTGGCAGCTCCAGCACAGAGCTTGCCTAATGAACTCTGGGTGTTCCCGAGGGTCTTGTTTTCTGACAACCTTTTTAAAGTAAACTAAAATTAACAGATTCTAACATTTATTTAGAGACACAGAGAATCTAGAAAAGCCAAGACCATATGAAAGGCAAGGTAAAAGCTGGAGCAGTCACACTGCCCGACCTCAGTGTAAAACTTGAGTGATCCAGCAGCATGGTGCTGACATGAAGGCGGATAAGCTCGTTAGAGCACAGACTGAAGGGAAGGGTGGCGCTCACAGGAGAGTGCTGAGGCAGCTGGGAAACAGATCAGTGGCTGCAGTGCACACTGGGTACTTGGAAGACCAGCTCAGAAGGGGTCACTTAGCTTAGTTAAGACCTACACCTATCCTCCTTCAGAACAAGTTCCACGACAGCCCAGGCTACACAGAGAAACCCTGTCTTGGAAACCAAAGAGAGGGTGGAGGGGGGTGGAGACCTACCCTTAAATCTTAGAAGATCTTGGAGTAGGCAAAAATTCTTTTAGAGAATTCAGGAATTTCAGGTCAGGCAGAGACAAACACCAACCCCAAATCTGGTAAATCAGCCTATGGTGGCACACCTGTAAATCCCAGCACTTACTAGCACCGGTCTATGCACTGAGTTCAGGGTTGGCTGCTGTTGTTGCTTGTTGGCATAGTGCTTGCCCAAGCAACAAAAGAAAATTATTTAAGTTGAAAATTAAACAGTTGTATTATTTGAAGAAGACTGTTGGCACCCTGAAAAGGCACCAACAGGGAGACAGTGTTTGGAACTCACACAGATGACGTGTCCCTCCCACCTAAAGGAGTAAGAACTGCCAACAGTCAGGCACTTAAGAAAGGGCTCGTTAACACATTCCGCAGACGACATAGGAATGTACTATCATTTCTCATCCAGGAAATTGCAGTGAAAACTTGGGCTGCTACTACACGTTCATCAGAGTAGCTAAAATGAAAAAACAACAACAACAACAACAAAAAAAAAAAACCAAAACAACAAAAAACAAACAAAAACAAAAAAAACTGACAGTATCAGGCACTGTTGAACATAGGGCAGATAAGACTTGAACTCTACTGGGGAGTGGGTTTGAATATCTTAGGAAATGCTACAGAGGTGGTGGCACACACCTTTAAGCCAGCACTTGGGATTATTATTGATATCATAATAAAGGCAGATCTCTTTGAGTTTGAGGCCAGCATGGTCTACAAAAGTGAGTTTAAAGACAGCCAGGACTGTTACACAGAGAAACCCTGTTTGGAAAAAACAAAACAAGGAATGGCCTCTGATGTAGCTATCTTCCTGCTGGACCTTTACAGGAGAGAGGAAGATACAAGTCCACAAAGAGTTGATGTAAGAATGAAACTCCCCAGATGCCCACCACAGGGGAGTGACGGCTCTACCTAGCGACAAGGGAGCAAGTGTCTAGTGCAGAGCAGGGTGGGGTGTTTGCCGCCTGGAGCCGGAGCAGTTGATGTGCTAACAGCTTAGATTTATGAGCCCCTGCCCATGCCGTAGAGCCCCGTCTCACGGCGCAGAAGTGACGCGTTCTCCTTGCTCTTTACCCTGCAGGCACTGTCGGCGTGCAGCTTCCAGGCATCCAGGAGTACGGAGCAGTCGGGGGCTCTGCACGTGCTGCCACCTCTGCCATGTGGGCCTGTCAGCACTGCACCTTCATGAACCAGCCTGGCACTGGCCACTGCGAGATGTGCAGCCTCCCCAGGACCTAGGGCTCTGGCCCTCTGCTGAGCAGGACTGGGCCAGCCCAGCCCTCTCTGAAGCCTGGAACACCACGTGTTTCCTGTAAGGCCTGACGCCCACAACCCTGAAGCAGCAGCGGAGCCAGCCACCCGGCATTCTGGATATACACAGAGGCTTCTCAGTGCGGATCTTGAAGAGAAAGAGCCCCAGCTGCTATGCTGGGGTTGAACAGAACCTCCAAACTGGAAGGGCAGAGCAGCCCTGCCCAAGAGCACCCCACATGCCTCACCTAGTTAGTAGCTCCCCACTCTATTGGAAGGACTGAGCGCCTCTGAACTATCACCCGAAATTGGGGTGCAGAGAGAGGTTGCTGCTGTCGCCCCGCTATCTTTCCTTCCTCTATGCTTTTTGTTTTCTGCCTCCCACCTTCTCCCCAGTTTTTGGATGGATGCTCCTGGCTGTCTCTGTTCCCTCCCTTTGGGAGCATGTGTGGCTAGGTATGACCTGTACCCCTGCCCTTGCCTGAAATCAGTTATCAATAATTCCTGCCCAGAAAACTTTTATTTATTGTTTTTAAGATAAAACTGCACAGACAGGAGCGAGAGCGACTTAATTCTGCTTTCTTTCCTCCTTGAGTGCAGCCCTCCTGGGTGTTCAGGTGGTTATTGGGCAGGGGCCACCATCAGTTCTCCTCTGAAGCAAACCTCAGTGCCTGAGACTTTCCTACCACGCCACAGGATGCTGGCAGCTGGTAGCCTGGGTGGCTCTTGCTTGGGGTCAGCCCCTTGGAGTCTATGGGCCAGCCCTGGGATTGTGGTCCCCTCCCCCAGCACTGTTCCTTTACCCAAGGCCTTGCACAGTGCTGTGGCAGTTGAGACGGCCACCGTGAGGCCTGGACAAGTGAGGGCAATTAAAGATGGTCTCTGAGTGTCCTTGTGGCTCTGTTGTGGCAGCCTTTACCCAGGTAAGACACGGATATCTTGATGCCTCTTTGCCTTAATGAGAGCTAAATCAGCTATCCTCACCCTGGGAAGGGCTATGCCAACCACAGACTGCTGGAGGCCATAGTGTCCGGCTAGTGGAGTGCACCCATGCTGCCTTCCACGTCCTCGGCCCCGCAGGCAGCACACTGGTCGGCTAGGCTTTCATGTGGCAGGGCTGGGGTTAGTGTCTCTGGTTTCACCTGGCAGGCGATCTGTAGTCCGAGGCCCTGGGGCTGTGGACCCATTGAGTTTGGTTTAGTATTGGTAGGCTCATCCTTGGAGGGTCAGGGTTATCTCCCTCCCTCCTGGTGGTCTCCCTGGCTAGGGCTTCACATTTCTGTCTTTCCTGGTCCTTGAGATCTGGTAGACTGGACGTCCTGGCACAGCTGTGTCCCCATGCCAACCGTACTAGCCCTGTTCTTCACGCTGGGCAGGTGCTGGGCAGCACAAACCCTGGAGACCTTCTTGCCACTCCTTCCCCACTCATCTTTGTCTGCAAAGTCATTTGCTTTTTCTCATGCTCTGACATCCACATAATTCTTGTTTTCTCTGTCTTTCAGCTAAAGAAATTGTTGTAATTTCTCTGCTTATGGTTTTGAGTTACTCTTTGTTCAGTAGCGCACTTTATTTTGTTGTCCAAAGAGAGTCAAGCTGATGCCACCAGCCTGGTGCGAGCCCTACAGAAGGTTCAGGCCTGAGCAGCTCAGCTACCTTCTCCTACATGGAGGTGGCCCCATTCCCACCTCTAATCTCTCTGCCATCAGGCGTTATATGACCCAGAAAGGGGTGCCAGCGGGTATACCTACCCAAGTGAACCCAGGCTGAGAGATGGGGCCAGCCCTGGCCTTGCCCTGACCAGCCTGCTCCTGGGCCATGGGTGCTCCCACATTGGCTCTGTTGTGCTCATAGGTGTGCACCGGCTGGGTGTGAACTAGCATTTCTTTGACCCTAGCCCTGCAGTGGAACCTAATAAAAGCGCCTGAAGCGATCACCCTGCTCCCAGTGCCTTGTTCCTGTGCCCAGAACCATTATCCACCAGTTGTGGTATGTGTGTGTGTGTGTGCTACACTGTGCAGCACAGACAGTCTGGAGTGCAGAGGTAAGCTGAGGACGCTTCAACTCTGCAGGAGACTCAGAAGACAACTCATCCCCCCAGGCCTTTCCAGCCAAGGTGTCTTCAGAGATCAGTTCTGAACGCCACTTAGAGTTGATTCAATAGGTCCGGGTTAAGGCCGTAGTTGTTTTTGTTTGTTTCTTGTTTTTATTTTTTAATTTATAGCTGGGCATGGTGGTGGATGTCTTTAATTCCAGCACTTTGGAGGCAAAGACAGGCCAGGACCACACAATGAGAGTGTCTCCCAAAAAATTTGGGTTTTTTTTTTTTTTTTTTTTTTTTTTTTTTTTTTTTTTTCTTTTTCAAGACAGGCTTTCTCTGTGTGCCCCTGGCTGTCCTGGAACTTACTCTATAGACCAGACTGACCTCAGAACCCAGAGATCCACCTACCTCTGCCTCCTGAGTGCTGGGAATAAAGGCGTGTGCTACCACCACCCAGTTTATTGTTTTTATGCACATGAATAGAAAAGTGGATGTGAGAGCTGCTGGGGTTGTGGATGCTGTAAACCAAACTTGTGTCCTCTGCAAAAGCAGCATGTGCTCTTAACGGCTGGACCATGTTCCAGCCTCAGGATTGTACAATGGCCAAGCCCACCAGACATTTCTTTTGTACCTGGTTATATCCCACACACCTTTGCTCCTAGATTTGGCCACTGAAGTTTTCAGATGAGCATTATTTTAAGAGACATTATTATGTCGTTTTAAGGGAGCATTATTTTATTTCCTGAGCTGACCCCACATTCTACTCAAGCAATCCTGCCCCAGCCTCCGCGGAGCTGCCACTACTAGAGCCTAGGCAGCGGCAGGCATCTAGCTCCTGATGAGTGTTTTGGAGGAGTGGGGAGTACCTGATCTTCCACTTCTCATCTCGGCCTGCTCCCTCGAAGAGCAGCAGGTGGAACTGTCATCGAAGAAAATGGAAAGCCTCCTTAGACTTTGCTATTTAGGGCACGCAGCATCCTCTGCCAATTCAGAATCCCTTTGCAAAGGCGCTTCTGGCTGGCTGGCCCGAAGTCCCTTTCACCCTGATCACGGAACTGCTCAGTGTACGGAGTCACCCAACTCCAAAGAGCCCATGCTATGTTGGTGTCAGCCCAAGTGCTGACACAAAACCGGGTGTGGCAGACAACCTCACCTTACTCTGCTCACCAGGTAAGTGGTCTGAGGCAGGGACCCCTCCCTGGGCCAGAGTGGACTTGAAAGACGGCTGCCCATCTGTGCGCCCTCAGGCTTCCCGCGTTCCTCTAAACCGCGGCTCTGTGCAGCCAGCAGGGCGGTCCCGCCGGCTCGCGGGACCGCAGAACCGCCACCCCCGCCCCAGCACCGGCCCCGCCTCCGCAGCGGCCGCTTTACGGCGGAGGCCGCGCAGCGCTGTGGGCGGCCGTAAAGCCTGGAGGCGGCGCCGCCTCTCCCGGCTGAGCTCTGGCCCGGCGCCCGCAGGATGGCGGGCGCTTCCCCACGCGTGCACTACCTGTCGGACTTCTGCTGCCCGCTCGGAGGCCGGGCGGGGGGGAAGCCGCGTGTGCTGCGTCACGAGGCGGAGGTCTTTCTGTCCACGGGGCGCGAGTTCGTCTATGTGTACGACCAGGAGGGCGGGATGCTGACGGTGAGCGGTGGGAGGGCGGGCGGCGGCCTCCGAGGTGAGCCGGGGCCGCGCGTGCCCTCGCCTGACCTCGCTCTCCCGGCGCCCAGGCGGTGTTCCAGTTTCCCGACCAGGTGTGGCACCTGCAGCTCCTGGCCACCCGCAGGGCGCTCTACGTCCTGTGCGCCCGGACTGGCATCTACTGTCTGTCGCTGGACTCGCAGAGCAGGTGAGGGGGCGTGGCCCGCGCGGCTCCGGCCGGTCCGCACGTCGGGTGGACCTGCACCCCAGAGTGTCAGCTTCCGAGTTCTTAGCTGTTGAGGCTCAGGTAGTGCCGCCCGCAGCCAGGAACACAGCCGCTCTTGCCCTCGGTGTCTAGCAAGACCTCAAAGTGGGTCTCCTGTTGGTGGTGACAGCAAAGGCTGGTTGGTCATTGGCTTGTGCTGGGGAAACTCAAATACACAGCCCAAGTTCAACCCTGGGAGCATTGTCTGTGGAGCCGCGCTTCTGGCTGATCCACGTGTCACACCGTGTGTGTGTGTGTGTGTGTGTGTGCGCGCGCGCGCGCGCGACCTGCCGAATGGCCTCTGGATGGATGCCTGTGATGCCTTCTGCCTAGTCTGCTCAGAGCAGGTCGGGTTATTGCTAAACATGACATGAGGCTCCCCCACCCAGTATTGACCGCGGTTGTGTTGTCCCTGAAGGTCTGTGACCCAGGCCTGTGAGGACGAAGAGGATGAGGCTCGCCCTTTCCCCGTGATCCGTGTGGACCCGGACGCCTGTGTCCTCCCCAACGCCGCGCTCTGTGCCTTCAGTGTGCTGGATGACATGCTGGTCACCCTGGTCCAGGGCCCCACCCAGTGGAAGATGCAGCTGTTCGAGCGTCCCTGCCCAGGGGAGGAGCCTCGGCCTGGAAGCCAGCTCGGTGAGGTGGAGTTGTCCACCTGCACCCCTCCAGGTGGGGTGCCCGAGAAGCCTGCAGCCCCCAGCTTCCTGCCAGTGCTGTGCTGCGTGTTCCCACCAGACTCCAGGGCGCCTCATGGTCACCCCGAGGGCTGCGGCTGCTTCATGCTAGAGGAGGCCCTCTTTGGTCTCCTCTTCGGAGCTGACGCCACCCTCTTGCAGTCCCCCGTGATCCTCTGCGGTCTCCCTGATGGCCAGCTTTGCTGTGTGGTCCTGAAGGCCTTGGTTACTTGCGAGTTAGCTCCCGGTGACCCTAAGGTCCTGGTCAAGATCCTCCATCACCTGGAGGAGCCTGTGGTCTTCATCGGGGCTTTAAGGGCAGAGCCGCATGCTGAGGAAGAGGCAAGAGAGCTGCTGTCTGACGAGAACGTGCATTCTGACTGCCTTGTAGCCCTTGGCCACCAAGGCCGGACACTGGCCATCAAGGCCAGCTGGAGCGAGTTGGGGAATCTGGTGCCAGAGCTTCGCGAGTACAGCCTCCCGGGGCCTGTGCTCTGTGCCGCCTGTGGCAGGAATGGCCGCATGTACCACAGCACCCCCTCAAACCTCTGTGTGGTCGACGTGGCTCGGAGAGACACTCCTTGGAACCTCGAGAAGCCAGACGGGGCCATAGGAGGTCTGCCTTCCATGCTGTGCCCGGCCAGCTTGAACATCTGCAGCGTTGTTGCCCTCTGTGTGTCTACAAGGGCATCTACAGGTACGAGCTGCCTTAGGTGTCACCCAGCCCTGGGGCAGCCTCTCCCTCAGCTGTCCTTGCTCCTTTCTTTGTTCTTCGGTGAGACTTTTTCTAAGGTGGCAGATACAGGCTTTCCTCACCAGGCCTGTCACAGACCAGTCTCCTGTCTCGGGGTCGAGGTACCTCTGCATGCGTGTCCTGCCTGAGTGTGCTCTGGCCCCTCAGTCGAGTGCCGCTCACAACATGTGGCTTGTGGGGTTGGTGTCAGAGCATCCCCCACAGCAGGCCTCAAATCAGGTCAGGCCAAGCCTCCCTGCATCCTCTGAGAGCTGGATGAGCCTGCTTTCTCTGCTGGATGACCTGTTTACGAGCCATTCAGAGGGTGTCTCGGAGTTCTCTAAGAATGCTTTAGCTGGGTTTGCCTGACTCTGGGGTGAGAGGAAGACATTCCCCACCCCACAGTGCTTTCCCATTAAGGTCAGCTACTAGTACGTTAAATCTGCTGAAAACGCTTTGCAGGAGGAAAAGGCTTGGAAGAGCCAAACCGCCACAGGGTCGGGGCAGGGGTGAGTGTGGCCATAGACCAGGGCACCTGGGCACTGACTTTCAGCTTCTAAACTGCCTGCTTCAGGGTTCAGGGTAAGAGCTGTGTTGGGCGTAGGGAAGCAAGCAGACCTTTGGCAGGGGCAGCCTCTGTCCCCTCAGTGCCAAGAAGGAGGCAGGCGGATGTGGCGGAGAAGCCAGGCTTCTTGAGATGTACCCAGTGAGGATGAGGTGAGCGTAGCTCAGCCTCCAGGGTGCTTCTCTTTGGAAAGCTCACCGGCCTTGCTCTCTGTGGCCTGTTGCAGACTGAGGCACTTTTGAGTGGTCAGATGCCTTGCAGTGTCCTTGGCCCCTTTTACCCTGCCTGTGTGGGTCACTACCTTGGCATCATATCTGGGCTGATGTCGCCTCGTCAGTAAGCAGTTCAAAACGTGTATAGGGACCAGTGGTCACCTTCTCTGCCCAGCCCCTTGGTGTTGGCTTCCCCGGTCGTTGTCCCCGCCCCCCGTAACCTCATTTCTGGCCCTTTGCCAACCCTTTTCCTGGAGTCCAGAGCAAACCCTGATGAGCACGTGGCCGCTGCCCCAGACCTGCTGACTGGCCCTGCATGTGTCCATCATCAGGTAGCACCGAGCTCCTGGCCCTGTCTTCTAAAGGGCGCCTGATCTCCTGCGTCTTGGACTTGAACTCTGAGGTGCCTGTGCCTGCCAAAATGGCTGTGGCAAATGCAGGCCAGAAAATTAAGGAGCTGCTCTTGGACATCGGTGATGTCTCCGAGAGGTGAGCTGCGGGCTCTGGCTCAAGCCGAGCCTGTGTCTTGTCCTTGGGAAGCAGCATCCGGGGTGGCGCTGACCCAGGCTTGGCGGTCTGCGGGCCTTACAGCCTTGTGACTTGTTGAGGATATTCCCTTAGGCCTACCGGCTACTGTCTGTCATACTGTCACTGTTTGTGTGCACAGGGGGTGATTTGTAGGGCTAGCTCATCTCTAACAGGCGTAAACCGGTCCATTGTCTCCATCCTGTCTTGCCTCCTACAGACAGGGGAAGACCCGCTCCTCGGGCCGAGGAGCTACTCCCGTGCTCCGAGAGCTTTACCCAGATATGGCTCCCTCTGCTGTGGTCTCAATCTCCTGGGTGTCGTGTCTGTGCCTTGCAGAGTGTCCTTCCTGAAGAAGGCTGTTGACCAACGCAACAAGGCCATAACAAGTCTCAACGAGGCCATGAATGTGAGCTGTGCCCTGCTGTCCAGCCAGGATGGCGCCCGGCCCATCTCGTGCACCATCGCTACCTCCTGGAGCCGCCTGGAGCTGCGAGACATGCTGATGGCCACCTGTACACTGGAGAATAGCAGCAGCTTCAGCCTGGACCAGGGCTGGACCCTGTGTATCCAGGTGCTTACTAGTTCCTCCGCCTTAGACCTGGATGGGGCTGGTTCAGCTTTTACCTACACCATTCCAGTGGACAGACTTGGCCCGGGCAGTCGGCGGGAAGTGACGCTGCCCCTGGGTCCTAGCGAGAGTGGCATGCTCGACCTGCCAGTGACCATGTCCTGCTGGCTCTACTATAGCCTCAAGGAGGTGGTGGGTGGGGCCCTGGCCCCCTCCCACCCTCTAGAGGTCCCCTATCTGGAGAAGCTCCCTCTCAACCTTCCTAAGCAAGAGGGTGTCTGCCTGCCCCTGTGCAAGCGCACGGTGGACATGCTGCAGTGTCTGCGCTTCCCTGGCGTGGCCTCACAACCCGCGCAGGTGCCCTGTGTGCCTGGCTCTGCCTGTGAGCCTGTGGAAACCTTCCTGAAGGCCTGCCAAGCCCCCGGCAGTGAGCCAACTGGTGCTGCCTCCCTCCGGGCCAAGTACCTGCCTCCGTCTACAGCGTCCATCAGGGTGTCCGCGGTGCTTCTCAGAACTGCCCTGGAAGACGGTCACTCAGGTTGGTGGCACTACTGGCTTCACATTGGCCTCAGGGCCCTGCAGCCTGTGGAAGCAGGATGTTCCTCTCTCCCTGTGGCTCCTGTGAGTTCTGCTACCTCCTGATTGCTGTAGGAGTCTTGTGTCAGGTCTTGTGTGTTTTTTAAAACCTGTGCGGAGGTACAACCTAAGCGGTGGCAGATGCCACCAAAGAACAGCTTGGTGAGCTCTCACACACGGAGCACCAGAAGCTGGTCTGTCTGAGATCTGCGAGAACACTTGGCCAGGCTTTTGTTCCCACAGTGTGCTGAACTGTCTGTATTGTTTGTGGCAGAAGTATCCTGGTTGCTGGTACCTCTGTCCCGCCACTAGTGGATGTCGGATTGTGTGTCTGGCTTCACTCTGTCCTGGGGAGAGCTGAAGCCGTCTTGTACAGCATTTATGTCTGTGCACCAGGGCGCAGTTAGGACTGTAGCCTGTGCCTTGTAGGACCTCCCCGAATGGGCTTCTAAGTGGGCTTCTGGGTCCATGGTTCCTGATGACCCCCTATGCCTCCCTGCCTCTTGGGTAACTGGCTTAGCTCCCTGCTTGTGGTGGGACTGTGGGCCCTTGGGACACTTAGGTGGATTGGAAAGGGGACATTTGAGGGAAGCCACACGGGTGCCGTTTTACACCCCATTGGGCGCCTTTCTCTTCCAGGTTTCCACCTGTGCAGTGCTACGCTGCAGTGGCTCCTTGCCGAGAATGCTGCCGCAGCTGTCGTGAGGGCCCAGACCCTGTCCTCCATCCAGGGCGTAGCCCCAGATGGTACTGATGTCAACCTCATCGTCCGTGAGGCAAGCAGGGGTCACTTCCGTGTGCTTGGGATGGGGCCTCAGGGCCCTCAGTCCTCCGTGGGTCCCTGGCCCATCACTCATGGAGAGTTACTCTCACCTGCCTCTCAGTCTCGTCTGCCCCACCAAGACTGGGTCCCTGGGAGGACCAGCCCTGTCTAATCCATCACGGGCCCCGCTAGGGTCACAGTGGGCAATAAGTACAGTATTGTTGGTTGACCATCCCAAGCCAGTAGCAGCCCACCTGTTGGACCACCAGAGGGTGATGGGCCCCTTTGAGGGCCCTCAAGTGAGACAGCCCATCCCCTCAGGCCTTTCCTTCTCTGACACCCTCTTTTTGGGGTCCTCCTAGCAGCCAGGATCCCCTGCAATGGAGACTCTTGGAGAGTAAGCCGTGTCTGCCAAGAGCCGTGGGCCCTACTCCCAGAACTCAGGGAATGTTAGTTATCAGGCCGTGTCCTCCAGACTCCTCACCTCACTGACCAAGGCTAAGAATGAGCAGTGGTCCTGGCCAGTGGACAGAGTCCATGCTTACGTTGATGGCCAAGACCTTTCTGTAGCCCTCAGGCTCTGGTCTTACGCCACTGTGTAAAGAGCAGGCCAGGGCTACCCAGCCTCAGCCTGTGGAGTCAACACCATCAGGACCCCCTGGAGGGTGCTGAGAGACAGGCACTTTGGCCCTCACTCCATTCCTGGCATAGAGCCAAGCTTAGTTTAGGTCTGGGTGCAGCTCAGAATGAGGTGGTTCCTACAGGACTGGATTCTGAGTCGTCCTCATACGGCTGCCCCCTGCAAATTGGTTTCTCACTGCGGTTCCCCAGCCTTCCCGCCTTTAAAATGCGCAGCCGCTCAGGGCCTTATGTGTTGCAGGTAGCTGTGACTGATTTGAGCCCCGCAGGGCCCATCCAGGCCGTGGAGATCCAAGTGGAGAGCTCCTCTCTGGCCAACATGTGCAGGGCACATCATGCCATCGTCAGACGCATGCAGGTACCGCAGCCAGCGGGGGGGGGGGGGGGGGGGGGGGGGGGGGGGGGGGGGGGGGGGGGGGGGGGGGGGGGGGGCGATGGGTACCGCAGCCAGCGGGATTGGGGGCTCGGGAACAGGCTCTGCAGGCGGAGGCAGCCATCTGCGTTTCATCTGTGGACCCACACAGCTGCTGCAAGCAACATGGTGTCTTGCCACCTCTGCGCAAACGACACTGCCCTCCAGGGGTTGCATCAGCCCGCGTCCCCTGGAAGTTCAGAAATGGCTGAGTCTGTGTCTGATCAGTCTCTAGTCATTACCTGTCATGTCTGGGCTAAACCCCACCCGTGCGTGGATCCTAGGCCAAGGAACTACCCAGTGAGGTCCTAGGTTCAGAAAGACCCGCTTGAGCACAGAGTCTCCCTTGGGTGTCCGGCCGCATGGCTCTGTCCAGAGCACCCACCCCCCACCTGAGGCTGGTGTGGCCCGGGCTCAAGGCAAGGTCTGCAGTGGCCACTGGCAGTTCTGCAGTTAGTTCTTAGCTATTGCCTCCTCCAGCCTCACCCTGGAACCCTTCCCTGTGTGCCCTGGCGTTGCTTCCCGAGCCGACCAGTGCTCTGTGGACGGAGGGCCAGGTGCAGGTGCTAGCTGCTCTCAGAGCTGGAAGGTCAGCCCTAGCACATGACCCAGCGATCAGTCACCTCGTCCTGGGCCAGTTGTGAAGTGAGCGGTGTAACAGTAACCGGACGTAGCAAGGTTGAGGCTTTGTGTTGTCGGGAGTTCAGGCCCCATGCTGTAGACTCCAAAGCAGTGGTGCCACCAGCCAGCCCCCAAGAACTTCTACCAGCTTTTGCCCAAATTTCCCGTGATAAGGACACAGTCACGTAGGAGTAAGGCCACCCTAGTGACTTTACCGTGGTCTTCTGCAAAGACCCCATTGCAAAAAAGCTGCCTTCAGAGGAACTCGCATCAGGACTTGGTTTGTGATTTCAGGGGGACACAGTCGATCCTTGGTAGGGAATCACATGGCGCAGCTGCCCCCAGACTGCAGGGCAGCTTCAGCCAAACACCGCCATGGTCCGTAGACAGGAATCTCCCACAACCACCAGGACCTTGCCTGATGCTAGCTTCCCCTTAGACAGCATTCTCTAGGACCCTAGGTGGATGCTCAGCCTAGGCAGGTCTGCCTCTGGGAGCCTTTGCTCATATCTGAAAAGGCCATTTAGCAAGCTAGACTGCTTTCGGGAAGAGAGAATGAACGCCAGCCCTGAGTGAGCCTGCAGAGGGCATGAGCATTATCAGATGGGTTCTGCCTAGGGCCCAGTCCAAAGTCTGTTTGAGCCACAGAAGTGAGACAAGGGTTTAAAAGGGCTCTTTAAGGTGGGCGTTGTAGCATACAGTCCCAGCACTTGGGAGATAGAGGCAGGCGGATCTCCATGAGTTCGAGGACAGCCAGGGCTGTTATACAGAGAAGCCCTGTCTTAAAAACAAACAAGCAAAAAAGGTCCCTTTGTTCAGGCCTAGTGGTACATTCCAAAATCCTAGCAGTTGGTCAATTGTGGGCAGGAGGATCAGGAATTCAAGGCCAGCCTAAGCTTCATAGCAAGTTTGAGGCTCCTCTGAGTTATTTAAGGCCCTGACTTAAACTCCAGAAACGTCTCTCTTAGTGACTGTTGGTGGGGGCTGATGCTGCTCTGAGGAGGAAAGTCCTGGGGAACAGGGTGGGACAGATAAGGAGTGGTCACCGTGTCACTGCGACCTGAGGGGCGTGAAGATCCTGGCCTCTGAACCCAGGCATCCACTCTGGGAAGCATCCTCCAGTTCCCGCCCCCCAACCCTTCTGTTCCCCAGACTATGGTCACAGAACAAGCTGCCCAAGGCTCCAGCCCACCTGACCTCCGAATGCAGTATCTACACCAGATCCACGCCAACCACCAGGTGAGCCCCAGTTTCTGAGTATGAAGAGTGTCCCCAGATGACGTGTAGGGAAGACAGGACTTGGGGGGCACCAGCCATGTGGGGCTGCCCAGTTTTCAGTGTGGGCTGGGTTCTCTGGATGGGGTCAAGATGTATAGGGTGTGTCCACTTCCTGCTTCCCTGGCCGTACCCACGTGGCTGTGTGTCACATATTTAAGGCCCTGTGACCCGTCCCCCACCTCCCAAGCACAAGGTGTTCCTAGGTGGGGCACGGGCTGAGCTGCGCTGCTGTCCGCAGGAGCTGCTGCGCGAGGTGCAGACCCTGCGTGACCAGCTGTGCACGGAGGATGAGGTCAGCTCCTACAGCATAGCCCAGAAGCTGCTGCAGGTTTACAGGCAGCTCCGCAACCCTAGCCTTGTCCTGTTGTGACCAGGTATGTCCTAGTCCTCTGTCCACAAGTCCTCTGTGTGCTGACCTTTGTGGTTCTGCCCGGGTGGGGAAGGATGCCCCAGTTCCCCGGCTCAGCCAGGAGGGCTGAAAAAGTGGGGTGTGAGGTAGATTCGGGCAGTGTCTGAACCCACAAGGCTTGGCCACCTCTCATGTCTGCCTCCTCCCGGACAGCTGCTGGCCAGCTTCTCCTCCTGCGGGACACACTTCAGGCTGAGTTCTGGGGCTTGTTGGGCTGCACCCCTGTACTGGAACCTCTGCACCTCCGATGGGAAGGATCGGTGCCCAAATACTTGGGCCATGGAGACACAGGGTTACTGGAGTTCAGACTTGAAGGTGTGGGACTGTTCGGTTGCTGACCCCACCACACCCCAGGAGCACTGGCCGCCTCTCTGGAGCCACCAGGGGGCAGAATGCTCACTGCAACCAAAGCACAAAGACCGTGGGAGGGCTCCCCTAAACTGCCCGCTGCCTGAGCTGCCTCCTCCCCCAGCTGGGCCCTGCTGCTGGTGCTGTTTTTGCTATGGGGGAAGAGCGTGTCTGCAGAGCTGCTGTGAGTGCCGTCTGTGCCCTTTCCTGATGTCCCCCGTGTCAGCTGGCGTCTGCTCCCTTCCCGCCCCTCACCCTCTTCAGAGTCCACTGCGCTCTGTGCCGGTGGTGGGCAGCCCTTCCCAGCTACCATCCCCCGGGGCTCCTGTGGCCACTTGGGGCCCGAGATCTGCACCTCAAGGTCTGGACACTGAGCTGCCACCGTCACAACACAGGGTGTTTACGTGGGCGTTTGTCCGTCCTCCAGGACAGAGTCCTCCATGGAGATGGAATGGCCTCTCTTGACACCGCCCGGAGTCTGTACAAGTCTTTTGTAACAAGGTGCTCACCGCCAGGGTTGCCGGCTTACCTCACCTGCTGGCCTGCTAAGAGTCCTGTCCGTAGCTGGTTCCTCAGTCTACCTACCCTTGCCACCTCCTGCGTGGGAGCCTCTAGCTGCCTCGTAGCGTGCATGAGTGTCTGCTCTGAGCCAGTTAGAGAGTCCGGCTCAGCCCACAGGATGGACGGCGTGCCTGGGAGCAGAGAGGGTCTCCCAGGCTGAGCTGGCTTCTGTCTGTCACAGCTGACTTTTCTGGTGTCCCCTACTTGCTGTTATAGTCCACAGAAATTGCCAGGTTTGTCTTTAGCCTAAACTCCAGCAGGTTGGGAGCTGAGGCACGTGTCCTCAGGGATTGCTGGTGATGTCACCTCATCAGCCTCCCTGGGCCCCTGGACACATCTGGACTTGGACTTGTTATTCTTGGCACTGAGAATTGGTAGGGCCCAGCACCAGGCTCAGACGGCTGCTGGAGCCGAAGAAACACCAGGCTTAGCTGAGAATCTCACCTGAGTGTCATGGAGTCAGGGCCACCATGTTTCACCTGGGTCCCCCGGTCTTGTCCAACACCTGTGTGCTGTCCCCCATTCATGTCAGACAATGCCTGCCGCCCGCGACACCGCAGGCCTGGACCCGGGCAAGCCGCTTAGGTCAGCTCCAAGAGTCAATAGGGGTGTGTCCTGATGTGTGACCCTGGGTAAGCGAAGGGGGGGGGTGGGTCTGGCCATAACTTCCTTCCCAGCATGCCTCCTGCCTTTCCCCAACATTGCCTCCCCACCCCAACACACACTCTTGTCTTAGACTTGCAGCTCTCTGTGGGTCTCATTTGTCCTGGGTAGTTGGAGAGGACGTTAGGGTCCCAAGCAGGATCAGGTCTGCCTAGGTTAGAATGGCCTTCCTTAATCTCTGACCCAAAGCCTAGCAACTGCTGGAGCGAGGTGAGGCGAAGGGTCTGGCAGCCCCCGCTTCCAGCCATGGCCCTGCCTCTTAGGTCGGTAGAAGGTGAGGAGAACCTTGCTCAAAAGGGCAAAGGGTTTCCTATGGGTGGGGTCCAGGGCTGAGCAGACAGAACCCTGAAACTCTAGGGTACGAAAAGCCCACGGCAGCTGCGCAACAAAGGTTTAATGGTGGGGCTGTGGGGTCGGCCCCTGTGAGTCCTCAGTATTCCCAAAGAGCTTCCCCCGTAGGCAGGTCTGCGTCAGCGCGCAGCAACCCTGAAGCGCCGCCGCACAGGTATTTGCCACTGAGGGCGCGGATGGCGAGGCGGCCACGCTCTCGGAACTCGAAGAGGAAATCCTCCGCCAGGTCACCGTCGCTGCACACGCTCCCGTGGCTGCCAACGTACCAGAAGCCAGCTCCACGGCCTGGGGGCAAGGCTGGAGGTCGGCGGGGGCCCGGGCATCCCCTGCCCCCCATTGCCTCCCCGCAGCCTGCGTTCCCGCACCTCTGATCTGATAGGCACCATCCCTGAAGCTCAAGTGGAAGACATCGTAGGTGGAGCGGTTGGTGTCCAGCTGGTTGGATCCCCGGCGGTGGCAGACGAAGCCGTCCAGGCCACGCAGCACCAGGATGGGTCGGTTGATAAGTTTGAGGATGAACAGCTCGTCTCCACCTAAGGGAGAGGACGGAGTGGACCACTCTTGCCCCTGGCTACCATATGCAGGCTGCGGACTTAGGGTTCCGGGGGTCCCTAGATGTTGCTAATGTACAGGTGTTGAAAAGGCACCCAGGGTTCCCCAAAGACAGTAAAGGAAAAGACACCCTGGATCTGACTTCTTCCCTGATGAATGAAATGGGGAGGGACCTCAGATGCGCTGACCCGGGGTGGAAAGCTGCCCAACTTACAGAACACAGAGAGTGCTCACCCACAAAGTCACTGATGGCGGCCAGCTGCCCGTTTTTCTTCATGCACACATAACGACCGTTGCTGGCTTTAAGTGCCACCCGCCGGCCATGCCATTCCATTTCAAACATGGTGTTGGCAGAACTGAGGGAAGGGCAGGCATGATCTCAGAGAGAGAGGAGCGGAGTTTGGTCCCCTTTCCTCCATGGGTTCCAGGGATGAGACAGAAGCCCGCCCTCTGCAGAAACACCCATGGCCACTGGGAGCTACTCCCCACCCCCCGGTGAACATTTGCTATCATAGCTCAGGGTGCCAGTGGTGATGACGGTGGTGGACGCGGTGACAGAAGTGGTCGAGGTCACCGGGGGAGTGGCGCACGTGCCTCCAATCCCAGCACTCGGGAGGCAGAGGCACACCTCTGGGTTGGAGGGGGGTAGTGATGGTCATGTTTGTGAGTGATGGTGATGGTGGCGGTGACGGTATAGACAAGGACAGGTGCACTCACACTTGTGTGGCTGTGGCCTGAAGGCCCCCATGAGTGACCAGGGTCCAGTAGCCCCCAGTGCTGGAATAGAAAGTACACTTCTTTGTCTCCTGGTCAATTTGCATCAGGAAGGTCTCGTGGTCCAATTCTTCGTCCTGATTGGCTGAGACGTTGACTCCTGGAGGGAGAAGACAGTAGTGAAGCTCCTCACAACTCCTGGGAGGCAAGAGATGGGGAAACTTGGCCTGGCGATGGTGGTGCACGCCTTTAATCCCAGCACTTGGGAGGCAGAGGCAGGTGGATCTCTGTGAGTTCGAGGCCAGCCTGGTCTGCGGAGCTAGTGCCAGGACAGGCTCCAAAGCCACAGAGAAACCCTGTCTCGAAAAACCAAAAAAAAAAAAAAAGAGAGAGAGAGAGATGGGGAAACTTTTGAGAAGCCATGAAGCCAGAGGGAGTCTCAGCTAGAGCTCTCGGGTGTCAGAGAAGGACCATCCAGGGACCAGTGCACTCCACACGCGGCCTCTAAAGGGTGGACTCTTGACCCAGCTCTTCCCTCCCTTCCCTGGATAGCATCTCATGCTGGCAAATCCCCATTCTGCTAATCAGCGAGCAATCTGCTCGTTGCTGCTCTCTGGACCCCGGGTTCACAGCAACCTGTTTATAATTCACTTAAGCTGCTGGGGGCAGGGGGGTTCTGACCTTCCCCTGAGGTGACCTAGATCGGAGCCAGGGACTAGGAGCCTACCTACCGCCCACACAGGAGCCCTAGGGGAAGGCAGGCTGCCCAGGGCCCGCCCAGGGTTTGTGTAATGGAACAAGTGTTCCATGTCCTGGCTCAGCATGCAGGCACCAAAGCCTCCTCAGGATCATCCCTAAGCTCTGGCCACCTCCCACAAACCCATCAGGTTCCTGGCAACCAGATACTCTGAAGAGTATGGCGGGTAGAACCTCCAGGAGCCCTAAGGGCTCAAGGGGTAACAAGTGAGGAGGGAGGGACGAAGCCTGACTGTAGGGCCACATTGGAGCCAGCCCTGCCCTGCCAGAGAGGAGGGGAACAACCATAGCAGCCCCAAGTGGAGACCCTGAGATCTGAGATCTACCGCCTTTCTCTACTCCCGGAGACTGTGCCCAGGCATATTCGCCCCGAGAATCACTGCTTCCTTGCAGAAAAGCAGCCAGCCTATCCCAGAAAAGGGCCCAGCAGTTTGTTTAGTTTTGGTTTGTTTTTTTGAGATTTTATTTACCAAGTATACAATGTCCTGACTGCGTGTACCCCTGGAGGCCAGAAGAGGGCACCAGATCTCATTACAGGTCGTTTTGAGCCACCTTGTAGTTGCTAAGAATTGAACTCAGGACCTTTGTATGTGAGATCAGTCAGTGCTCTTACCTCTGAGCCATCTCTCCAGCCCCCAGCAGTTTTTTTTTTTAAGTTTTTCTTTTATTTATTTATTATGTATACAATAGTCTATCTGTGTATGACTGCAGGCCAGAAGAGGGCACCAGACCTCATTACAGATGTTCGTGAGCCACCATGTGTGGTTGCTGGGAATTGAACTCAGGACCTTTGGAAGAGCAGGCAATGCTCTTAACCACTGAGCCATCTCTCCAGCCCCCAAGTTTTTGTTTTTCAAGACAGGGTTTCTCTGTAGCTTTGGAGCCTGTCCTGGAACTAGCTCTTGTAGACCAGGCTGGTCTTGAACTCACAGGGTTTAGTTTTTATGTGCATGAGTGTTTTGCCTGTGTGTATGTCTGTATCACTTGTGTGTAGTGAACTCAGGGGTCAGAAGAGAAACTCAGATCTCCTGGTACTGGGAATCAAACCTGGGTCTTCTGGAAGAGCAGTTAGTGCTCTTAACTCCTAAGCTGTCTCTCTAGACCTGGCCCAACTGTCTTTTTTACTGTCCCCATCTCTGCCAGCTTCAGCATTGGAGTAACAGTTGCTGAGCTGGACAGCTGGAACCAAGGCCACCCCTAACCTCATGAAGTCAATGGGAAAGTCTGGGTAATGAGTCTCATGGATGAATGCAACAGGGCACAGGACAAGTGGCCTTTCAACAAAGCCTCTTGCTGGGACAGAGGTGAGAGCCAGGTCAAAGGACTTAGCTGGGTATGCCAACTAGCACATTCATTGTCTTCAGCCATTGCCACATGTCCATGTCACAGGCCAAGGTGCTGTGTCCCTATATCACCCTCCCCTGCAGACAGAATGCTACCAAGCATCTTCCTCCTCGTGGTCACCTGCTTCTAGGGAGCTGACCCGGCAGTGGGCGATCCCAGAGTCCAGACGGCCTGGACAGTGGTTGTGGGACATGTCTGATAGGATTCATGAGGGGCTGAGTCTGTCTGTTGCCAGCAATGTTCATGGCTGCGCTGCGCGTGAGCCCTGCTGTGACCGTGAGGGCGGGGAGGGGTGGAGGCTGTGGATGGGGCAGTAAAGAAGTCCAGTGGGGGCTGGAGAGATGGCTCAGAGGTTAAGAGCATTGCCTGCTCTTCCAAAGGTCCTGAGTTCAATTCCCAGCAACCACATGGTGACTCACAGCCATCTGTAATGGGGTCTGGTGCCCTCTTCTGGCCTGCAGGCATACACACAGACAGAATATTGTATACATAGTAAACAAATAAATATTAAAAAAAAAAAAAGTCCAGTGGGGGAAGCTGCACACTGGTGACTCACAGGCTCCTGACTCGGAGACAAGTTTGGGGCCAGGACAAATAGACCCAAATCCACCACTTAGACTACCTTGAACCCAGAATTACTTCCACCCAGACACATCGGTCCCAAGGCTGGGACAGCTGGCAGCATTAGGAGATCACCCATGAAAGGGAGGGACTCACAACAGGTTCATCAACATGCGGAAAAGAGGTCAGTGAGGTGGCTTAGCAAGACAAGGTGCTCGCTGCGAACGCCTGACAATCTGGGATTGGTCCAGGGATTCATGTAAAGGTGGGTGGAGAAAAATGACCTCTACAAGTGTGTCATGGCATGCGTGTGCCCATCTCTCTCTCTCTCTCTCTCTCTCTCTCTCTCTCTCTCTCTCTCACACACACACACACACACACAATTTTATTTCAGGACAGGATCTCATATGTAGCTCTGGAACGCACCGTGTACACCAGGCTGGTCCCAAACTCACAGAGATCCGCCTGCCTCTGCCTTGAAAGTACTGGGATTAAAGGTGTGCACCACCACACCCAGCTAATAATAAAAGCTAAAAGACTAAAAAGCAGGCTGGAGAAACGGCTCAGGGTTTAAGGACATTACACTCTTGCAGAGACCTGAGTCCTGTCCTCAGCACCCTTACCCAGTCGTCTACGGCCATGTATAGCTAGTGTTCTGGATGACCCGACACCCACTCTGGCTTCTGCAGGCACCTGCGCTCACGTGCGCACACCCCTCCCATGCACACATATACACACACTTTTATCTTAAAGGATGAAAAGTAATCCACACAGACAAGATCCTACCCAGCGCCTTGACTTTTTTCTTTAGTGCTGGGGATAGAACTCAGGGTGTTGTACACAGAAGGCCAGTGCTCCCCAGAGTTATCTCTCCAGCCCGCATCCCACTACCACCTCCACCACCACCACCTCCACCTCCACCTCCACCACCTCCACCTCCATCACCACCACCTCCTCCACCTCCACCTCCTCCACCACCTCCACCTCCACCACCACC